AATCCCCTAACTCTGTTCCCCTTCTTTTCCCCCCATTTTCCCCCCTTTCTTCCCCCTTTTCTCCCCTTTTTCCCCATTTTTCCCTCCTTTTGCCCCCTTTTCTCCCCCTTTTCTCCCCCTTTTCTCCCCCTTTTCTCCCCCTTTTCTCCCCCTTTTCTCCCCCTTTTCTCCCCCTTTTCTCCCCCGGAGCTGCTGGCCGCGCCGCACGCCGCCGCGGCCGCGGGGCCCAAGCGCAAGCCCGAGGTGGTGCTGCCGCTCTTCTCGCGGCCCGGGATGTTCCCCGAGCACCCGCACAGCCCCTTCGCCGTGTCGCCGCTGCCGGGCCGCCCCGGCGTGCTCAACGTGCCCATCTCGCCGGCGCTGTCGCTCACGCCCACGCTCTTCTCCTACAGCCCGTCGCCGGGGCTCAGCCCCTTCGCCGCCGCCGGCAGCAGCTGCTTCTCCTTCAACCCCGAGGAGATGAAGCACTACCTGCACTCGCAGGCCTGCTCCGTGTTCAACTACCACCTGAGCCCGCGGACTTTCCCCCGCTACCCGCTGGTGGTGCCGCCGCTGCAGTGCCCGGTGCCGCTGGAGGAGCAGCCGCAGTTCCCCATCAAGCTGCAGCCGCCGCCGGCCGGCCGCAAGAACCGCGAGCGGCTGGAGAGCCCCGAGGCCGCCGGCGCGCCGCTGCCCCGCGTCAAGGTGGAGCCGGCGCCGGACAAGGAGCAGCAGCAGCAGGAGGAGGAGGAGGAGAAGCCGGAGAAACGCCACGGGGAGGAAGAGGAGGAGGAAGAGGAGGAGAAGGTGCCGGTTTTCGCCCGCCCGGCGGCTCCGGCGTGGATCCCCGTGCCTGCTCCGGCCGCGGCCTCCGGAGAGGAGAGCGCGGAGAAATCGGGCCGGGATTGCTCCGGGGAGGCCGGGGGCCAGGAGAGGAGGGAGGACGCCCTGATGCCCCCCAAGCTGCGGCTGAAGCGCCGCTGGAACGGAGATTCCCGGCAGGAAATGCCCGAGGAGCCGCGGCCCAACGGGATCTGGCACCTCCCCAAGGCCGTGGCCGCCGCCTCCGACACCTAATCCCGGCTGGAACAAAAAAACCTTGGAAAACACCCGGAAAAACATCCGTGTATTTATGTAGCAAGGTTGCAGAGCAGTTTGGGATCAGGGCGGGGAGGGGGGCGGGGTAGGTCTGGGAATTTTTAGGGAATTTCAGGGGTGGGAGAAGGGAGGGGGGCGGGGAGCTTCGGGCTTTGTGTTGTTTCTGTTGTTGACTTGCAGGTGAAGACGCCGCAATTCCCGCTCGCTTTTCCCGGGAAAAGCCGGCTCGAGCTCCAGGACTGGGATGGAGGAATTCCAGGCGCGGCCTCGGGGCCGCTCCCGGGCTCTTTGGGACACCGGGAATCTCCAGACCCAGGGGGGTTTTTTGGGATTTTTCGTTTTTCACGGATGCCAGGTTTCCCCGGCCATCCAGGAGCTGGTTTGGTTCAATCTTTTTTTTTTTTTTTTTTTTTTTTTTTTTTTGTAAATTTTTTTTTTTTTTTGGGAAAAGGAGGAGCTTGGGAATTTTGCATCGGGAATTTTGCACTGTCCACGGAGCGGGGTTGGGGCGGGGGGGAGAGGATTCAGGAAAACTCGGAAAATCGGGATGGAGGCCGCGTCGTTCCCGGCGGATTTCCGGGGAAATTTCCCCTTTTCCCGCCTTTTTTTCTCTCTCTCTCTCACAGAAGCCATGAGCAAAACTCTCCAAACTTTTTCAGGGAATGGGAACGGGAATAACACAAAATTAACCGGATGCCTTTAATCCTAACGCATTAAAAATGTTGGGGTTTGGTTTTTTTTGTTTTCGTGTGCCCGCAGTGGGAGTTTTTTCTTTCCCGCTGCGGAATCCGTGTGGGTGGAATTTTTGGGAATGCTTGGAAGGAGCGCTGGAATGATTGTGGTGAGTCCCGGGAACGCCGGAATTCCCGGCGCCATTCCCAGATTTTTGGACCCTCCCCCTTTCTCCCCGTTTGACTCATGCCTTAAAGAAGAAAACAAAAACCACGTTTGGACTTTTTCTGGGAATTTTCTTTCCGGGAGCGCTCGGATTTCGTGGATCCCTCCTGGTTTTTGGGGGGGAAATCCCAAATCCCGCCGTTCCCCGCGCAGCGGAATTCCGGAGGCTCCGGACTGTGCTCCCAGCGGGATAAACCCTGGAGAAGGCCGGGGCGGAGCCGGGAATTCCCAAGGATTCACAAATGTCGGGAATTCCGGGGGGACGGCGCGGGCAGGAAATTCCCTGCTGGAAGAGGAACCGGGAGCGATTCCCAAAGTCCCAACCCGGCCGGGTTTGGGATCCTCGGAATGTGGAGTTCAAAGAATTTGGGGTGGAAAACCCCTGGATTATCCCAAAAAAAACAAAACAAAAAAACCCCGGAGAGGGCGCGAGGACGAACTCAGGAATTACACGAGGAGGCCTTTCCCGGAATTCCCGCCGCCGATCCCAAATCCAAGTGCCGGAACCGTCGGGAAAAACACAAACAAAACCGGGGGGAAATCCCGGATTTTCCCCCCCCTCCAATCCTTCGGATTCGAGGCGAAATCCCACGGGAAGAGGAGGAAAGAAGTTGGAGTTTTTGTGGCTTTAAAAAGGATTTTTTGGGATTGGGGGTTTTTTGGGAAGGGTGGGAACGTTGGGGTTTTTTTTTTTCACAGCCATTGCACTGCAAAAAAATGAAAAAAAAAAAAAAAAGGATTAAAAATGAAAACGGAAATAAAAAACTTGGGAGAGTTCAGGGAATTCCGGACTCAGGACGACGGATCCGGCGCCTCTCGGGAATTCCGGAATTCCCAACGGAGCCCGGGAGGAGGAAAAAAAAAAGCAGGAAGAGGAAGGAAAAAAAAAAAAAAGCAGGAAGAGGAGAAGGAAAACGTTTAAAAAAAAAAAAAGGATTTAAAGGAAAAAAAAAATCAACCAGATCAAAATTTTATGGAGAAAAAAATCGGAAGTTTCAAGGAAAAATTCCTAAAATTCCAACGTGCCAAACCGTTTAATAAAAACAAACCCTCGGGAAGTTGGGAATGGTTGGAATTCTCTCCTGGATGAATTTGCCCCGGAGCATGATCCCGTTTTTCCAGCCGTTTTTTTTTGGTTAATTTCGCTTCTTTTTCGTAGCAAATCCGTAGGAAAAATGTTAAAAAACAAGAAAAAAAAAAAGACTTTTTGATGGGACAACCCCGAAAAGGGGGAATTTTTGGGGAGGAATTCCCCAAAAAGGAGGAAAAGGAGGAAAAATCCCAACAGCATTAATGGGGTTGTCCCGGATTTTTTTATTTATTCCGTAATTATGTTGAGTTTTTTTATTATTTTAAGCTGTTTTTCCGTTGGTTTCTTTCTTTTTTTTCGCGTCTCCGCGTCCTGGTGGGATTGAAAAAAAAAAAAACCAGGAATTTTCTCTCGGTTGAAATCATCAAAAATCCGGAAAAACTTTGGGTTTTCCGGGGAAAAACTTTGATTTTTTTAGCGCTTTTTAAACCGATATTTACGCTTTTCTTTGGGTTCAAAAAACCCCTTTTTCGAGGGATTTCGAGGGATTTGAACTCTGCCCGGTGGGAATCCGGCAGGAATCCTCCGGGAAAATCGATGGAATTTGGGATGGGGAGCGTGGCTTTGTACATAGGGTGTAAAGTAGAGGGGCAAAAAAAAAAAACCATAAAAAAAAAAAAAGACAAAAAATCCGGAATTTGTGCCTTTAAAAAGTTCCGATTTCTATAAAAATCAGATTTAAAAAAAGGGTTGCATATATATATTATATATATATATGATGGAGTGCTAGAGAAATTTATGGATAATATACATATTTTTTTCCAGGGGTATCCCATAGCTCCGTATTTTGTTATGGAAGTTGAAAAAAAAAAAAACGGAAAAAAAGGAAAAAAAAAAAAAAAACTCTGAAAAATAAAAGTATTTTACCTCGAATTGAAAACGTTAAATAAAAACCTTTTAACAGAGAGGGCTCCTGGCTTCCTTGGGAGGTTTGGGCTTTTCCCCAGGATTTTGTGGAGTTCGGGATCCGGGAGGAGCTGGAATTTTGGGAATTTTTGGGAAGGGGCGTCGGGGGATTCCCTGGATCCCAGAAATTCCCGAGGTCCTGGGGGGTCTCTTTGGGGGTTTCGGGGTTTGGGGGTGTCCCCAAGGGTGTCCCCAAAGCCTCGCTGTCCCCATGGGTGTCCCCAAATCCTCACTGTCCCTGTGTCCCCAAACCACCCTGTCCCCATGGGTGTCCCCAATCCTCGCTGTCCCCAAAGCCTCGCCGTCCCAGCTGTCCCCCGCACCCCGAGGTCACTCTGTGTCCCCCTCCCTCGCTGTCCCCGTCACCTCCCACACCCCCAGGACATCGTGTCCCCCTCAAACCCTCGCTGTCCCCATGGGTGTCCCCCCACGCTGCGAGGTCACCCTGTGTCCCCTCACACCCCCAAATCCGCACTGTCCCTGTGTCCCCCGCACCCCGAGGTCACTCAGTGTCCCCAGACCCCAAAGTCACCGTGTGTCCCCTCAAACTCTCACTGTCCCCGTAACCCCCGCACCCCGAGGTCACTCTGTGTCCTTTCACTGTCCCCCGTGTCCCCCACACTCCGAAGTCACTGTGACCCCCTCACTGTCCCCATAACCCCCGCACCCCGATGTCACTCAGTGTCCCCTCAAACCCTCACTGTCCCTGTGTCCCCCGCACTCCGAGGTCACCCAGTGTCCCCTCAAATCCTCACTGTCCCCCATACCCAAGGTCACCCAGTGTCCCCAGAACCACAGTGTCCCCTCTATCCCCCACACCCGCGGTCACCCCGTGTCCCCCATACCCGAGGTCACTCAGTGTCCCCAGACCCACAGTGTCCCCTCTATCCCCCACACCCGGCTCGGCTGCTCCGGGAGGCGTCACGCCGCTGCCGGGGGGAAAGCGGCGGTTTGGGGTGAAATTCGGGGGTTTGGGGGCTTAGAGGAGGGGGCTCAGCTCGTCTCGGACCCCGCAGGGTTTTGGGGTGAAATGCCGGGATTTGAGGTGTTTTCGGGTGAGATTCGGGGGTTTGGGGGCTGTGGGAAGGGGCTCTGCTCGTCCTCACCACGCGTCTCGGGGGGAAAGCGGCGATTTGGGGTGAAATTCAGGGATTTTGGGCTCTGGGGGCTTGGGGGAAAACGGGCTCTGCTCGTCCTGGACCCCCCGCCCCGCCCCGGCAGTGGTTTGGGGTGAAACGCTGGGATTTGGGGTGTTTTGGGGTGAAACGCTGGGATTTGGGGTCTTTGGGGTGAAAGGCTGGGGTTTTGGGTGTTTTGGGGTGAAAGGCTGGGGTTTTGGGGCTCTGGGGGGGGCTCAGCCCCGTCTGCACCTCCTGCGCGGGGATTTGGGGTGACAATCTGGCATTTTGGGGTGAAAATCTGGCATTTTGGGGCTCAGGGGAAAGGATTTAGATCAGGGTGGAGCTCCTGCCCCATCCCTGCAGTGCTTTGGGGTGAAATTCCGGGATTTTGGGGTGAAATTCTGGGATTCTGGGGGTTTGGGGGATCTGGGAGGGGGCTCAGCCCGTCCTGGAGCCCTCACCCCCTTCCTTGGGGGGAAAGATGGGAATTTGGGGTAAAACTCTGGGATTTTGGGAATTCTGGGGGGGCTCAGCCCAGCCCACGACCTCCCACCCCATCCTTGCAGTGTTTTGGGATAAAACTCCGGGATTTTGGGAATGGGGAGGGCTCAGCCCATCCCACATTTCCATAAATCCCTCAGGGCAGCAGCGTTTTGGGATAAAACTCCCAGATTTGGGGAGTGGGGTGGGAATATCCCAAACCTTTCTGATTTTTTGGGATATTTCCAGTATCCGCCACTGGAAATTGGCTTTTTCCCTGTTTGTTTTGCTCCATTTTAAACCAAATTTGGGGATTTTTTTTTTGTGGGATAAACCCTTGGAAAACCCTGGAGGTTTTTCTGGGATGAATTCAGGAATTTAGCTGAGGATTCCTGGATTGGGATCCCTGCTCCAGCCACGGCATTCCCCGCGTGGATTTGGGTGGAAAATGAGGAATTTGGGGCCCTGGGAATGGAGCAGATCCCGGGAATTTCGGGGATCATTTTCCCACCAAATTCCCGGGTTTTTTTCCTGCTTTTTCCATCCCACAGAATTCCAGGATTCCCTGTCCTGGTTTATTTGGGATTCCTGGGATCAGCCCTGGATCCTATCCCAGGTTATTCCATGGATCCCTGGGATGGTGGGAATGTCCCTGGGATTGGGATTAGGGTGGGGTTTTTTGGGATTTAGGGATCTTTTCCATCCCAGAGAATTCCAGGATTGTTTGGGGTTTCAGGGGTGAATCCTGGGTCCTGCCCTGGGTTATTCCTTGGATTTCCATCCCTGGAAGTGCCCGGTTCCCTCCCTCACCCCCGGGGCTCCGGGATCGCTCCCAGCCCCAGAATTCCGCGGATTCCCCGTGCCAGGGAGAGGGAAAAGGATCCCCTGGGGCCAGGGAATTCCAGGATCCCGAATTCCCGGCCAAACCAGCTCTGCCACTTCCCACTTTTCCAGGAGCGGCTCCCGTTAATCATTACCCCGCCGGGAACCCTTGGAGCAGCTTCCTGGAGAATTCCCCTGGAGAATTCCCGAAAAAAACCCAACAAAAACCGGGGAAAATTCCCGATTTCCAACATTTGGGATTGCCCCGGGCGGTGCCGTCCCCATGGGATCCCTTCCCATCCCTTCCCAAAAAAAGGGTTTGGGATTCCCAGCTGGAAAATCCCATGGAAACCTGGGATAAACCACGTTCATAGCAGGAAAAATGGGGAAAAATTCCCTTTTCCCAACATTTCTGATCTCTGGGTTCCTTCCCCCACTGGAATTGGAATTCCCAGCTGGAAAATCCCATGGAAATCCAGGATAAACCACGTTCATTGCAGGAAAAATGGGGAAAAACTCCCTTTTCCCAACATTTCTGATCTCTGGGTTCCTTCCCCCACTGGAATTGGAATTCCCAGCTGGAAAATCCACCAAAATCTGGGATAAACCATGTTTAAAGCAGGAAAAGTGGGAAAGAAATTCCCTTTTCCCAAAATTTCTGATCTCTGGGTTCCTTCCCACAGCGGGATTGGAATTCCCAGCTGGAAAATCCACCAAAATCTGGGATAAACCACATTTAAAGCAGGAAAAATGGGGAAAAACTCCCTTTTCCCAACATTTCTGCCCACTGGCTTCCTTCCCACACTGGAATTGGAATTCCCAGCTGGAAAATCCGGGATAAACCAGGTTTAAAAAGCGGGGAAAATGGGGAAAATTCCCGTTTTTGCCCGTTCTCCCCGTGGCTTTCCCTGGTGCTTTCCCAGGGAGGGCAGCGGAGCCGCAGCCCCCGGCAGGGAGGGAACCAAATGTTGCAAATCCGAGGAGAAATTCCGAACTCCCGGAATTCCTCCCCAGAACTCGGCGGCCGCCGCCGGAATGTGGGAAGAAAAAATTCCCCCGAGGTTTTTTTTTTGGTTTTTTTTTTTTTTTTCCCCTGGGAGTTTTTGTTAATTCGGGAATCAAAGCCCGCAGTTCCCACGTTCCATTTCCCTGGGGGCTTTGGGAATTCGGGGTTGTTCCCGTGAAAATTGGTGGGATTTTGGGAATCCTGGCTCCTCGCAGGGCCCTGTGGGAGATTCCCAGCGGGATCAGATCCCAAAAAAAAACCCAGGAATGACCGGCAGGGGTTGGGAGCAGCTTGGAAGGGTTTGGGAGGCAGGGAGAAGCTGGGAATTGTGGGATTATCCTGCAGCATTCCCAACAAAAACACTTGGGAATTTTTTGGGAAGAACCCCGCAGCTCATCCCAGCTGCCCCTGGAATTCTGTTGTTCCTTGGAAAACCACGGCGTGGAGGGAACGGAGTGGGCAGAAATGCTGGAAAATGGGATTTTTTTCCCATTTTTCCTGCTTTGAACCCTGGTTTATCCCAGGTTTCCGTGGGATTTTCCAGCTGGGAATTCCAAACCTGTTGTGGGAAGGAAGCCAGTGGGCAGAAATGCTGGGAAAAGGGAATTTTTTTTCCCATTCCAAGCTGCAATATTTTGGGAATATTGGATTTTTGGGAGCTGGGAAGGGAGAGCAGAGCTGGGGTCCCTCTGGAGGCCCAGCTGGAATGGGAATTGTGGGAATTGTGGGAATTGCCGTGGCTGGGCCGCCCCCGAGGCAATTAAGGAGCTTTAATTAAGCCGAATTAAACGACTTTTTTATAGCCTGGTTAAGCCCCGGCTGCTTCCAGAGGGGCAGGAAAAGCCTCTGGATCCCCTTGGATCCCCCTGGCTGGCACCTGGGCATTCCTGGAATTGTGGCTTTTAAGGGAAAACATCTCGGGAATGCCACGGATCCCGGAATTCGGGGATTTTTGGGGGGAAAAAAGGGATTTTGGGTGGATAACAAGGGCTGACCCGGGCTTGGCCGTGGGTAATCCCGAGGGTTAATCCTGATTTTCCCCCGGATTGGCCGGGAATGTCCAGGGCTGTGCCCAGGTCTGGGCTTCTCATGGAAAAAGGGGCTGGAAAATCCTCAGGGCTTTTTCCTTGGGGGGGCTGATCCCAGAGAAAAGGGGGATCTGCCAGGGGGGTTTGGGATCTGCCAGGGGGGGTTTGGGATCTGCCAGGGGGGGTTTGGGATCTCTCAGGGGGATTTGGGATCTGCCAGAGGGGATTTGGGATCTGATCCCGGGGAATGGGGCAGGACCAGAGGGAACGGCCTCGAGCTGTGCCAGGGCTGGAAATCTGGGATGATTTTTCCATGGGAAAAAGGTTGGGAAGCACCAGAAGGGGCTCAGGGAGGGTTGGATCCCATCCCTGGAGGTGTCCAAGGAATTCCTGGAGATCCCTCTGGATGTCCAGGCCGTGCCACAGCTCAGACTCCGTGGATTGGGATCTTCCAGAGCGGCCAGAGAGCGTGTCCAGCTGGCCTGGCAGTGACCAGGGGTCACCTGAGCTGGCCTGGGAGTGACCAGGGGTCACCTGAGCTGGCCTGGCAGTGACCAGGGGTCATTTCCACCTGTCCTGGCAGTGACCAGGGGTCATTTCCACCTGTCCTGGGAGTGACCAGGGGTCACCTCACCCGCCCTGGCAGTGCCCAGGGGCCATCCCGGCCATTCCCGAGTTGCCGAGTTGCCGTTCCCACCCCAGGTTGAGCAGCCTCTCCTCGTCCCTGGGCGAGTCCCCCTCGGAGCGAAGGTCCCCCGGCCACCACCGGCAGCCCTCGGACGCCTCGGAGTCCACAGGTGGGAATTTCCCTGGGGAATTCTGGGAGTCCGGGCACTCAGTGGTCACTCAGTGGTCACTCAGTGGTCACTCAGGGCTGGGGGTGCGGGTCCAGATCTTCCCACACTCTTGGAACATTGGGATTTGGGGATTTGGGGTCCCACAAGGGGGAATGCGGGGCTGGGGAGTCCGGGGTGGCCACAGGAGCTGGTGGTCAGGAGTGGACAATGGCCATGAGGTCAGGAGTGGCCACAGGAGCTGGTGGCCAAGGGTGGACAGTGACCCCGAGGTTCAGGGTGACCACAGGAGCTGGTGGTCAGGGGTGGACAGTGACCCCGAGGTCAGGAGTGGCCACAGGAGCTGGTGGCCAAGGGTGGACAGTGACCCCGAGGTCAGGGGTGGCCACAGGAGCTGGTGGTCAGCGGTGGACAGTGACCCCGAGGCCTGGCAGGCCCTGGCACCGGGGGTTCCTCAGGGCCAAACCCAGACTGCAGAGCCTCACTGGCTCCTCTTGCTCCTGTCCCTGTGTCCGTCTGTCCCTGTGTCCCCCGTGTGTCCCTGTGTCCCCTGTGTGTCCCTGTGTGTCCGTGTGTCCCTGTGTCCCTGTATCCGTGTGTCCCCTGTGTGTCCCTGTGTCCCCGTATCTGTGTGTCCCCTGTGTGTCCCTGTGTGTCCGTGTGTCCGTGCCGCAGGGCTGGTGCAGCGCTGTGTCATCATCCAGCGGGACCAGCATGGCTTCGGCTTCACCGTCAGCGGCGACCGCGTGGTGCTCGTGCAGTCCGTGCGGCCCGGTGGGGACAGGGGGACAGGGGGGACAGGGGGACAGGGTGGGGACAGGGATGGACACGGGGATGGACACAGGGAGGGACACGGGGATGGACACAGGGAGGGACACAGATGGACACAGATGGGGTGGACAGGGCCAGACAATTCCCAGGGGTCCCCTCTTCCATCCCCAGTCTCAGCCTGGGGCAGAAAATGGTGGGAGAATGGTGGGAGAGAAAGATGGCAGGGAGATGTGGGAGCAGGGGGGCTTTGGGGGGCTGAGGGGGTGGGGAAGCCCCCGTGGAACATTCCAGAGGAAATCTGGGCTCTGCTCTGTCCCGTGTGCAGGTGGGGCTGCCATGAGGGCCGGCGTGCAGGAGGGTGACCGCATCCTCAAGGTGGGCGCTCCCGCTCCCCTCCCGCCTTCCCGGGGGAATTCCCGTTTTCCCGGGGAATTCCCGTTTTCCCGGGGAATTCCCGTTTTCCCAGCCCTTTGCCAGCCCCTGCCCGGCTGTTGCAGGTGAACGGGACGATGGTGACCAACAGCTCCCACCTGGAGGTGGTGAAGTTGATCAAGTGTGAGTTGGGGCCGCAGTTCCTGGGAATTCTCCTGGAGGTGGTTCCGTGGGAACGGGCCGGGCTGGGGGAGGGGGAGGACGTTTTCCATCCTTCGGGAATTCGGGAGGAGCCTGGAAGCGTTTCCAGCCCTTTTTCCCACATTTTTCCAGGAAATCCTTCCTACCCCTCATCCCAGATTCTCCCTGGAAATGCTTCCCGCTCCCAGTTCTCCTGGAAATTTTTCCTAGGAATTTTTTCTTGGAAATTCTCCCTGGAAATCCTTCTCACCTCTTTTCCCAACTTTTTCCTGGGACTCTTTCTCACCCCTTTATCCCAGATATTTCCTGGAAATCCTTTTCCCCCCGTTTTCCAGGAAATCCTTCCCGCTCCCTGGAATTTTTTTCCTTGTGAATTTTCCCTGCCAGCCCCCCCTCACAGCCCCCTTATCCCAGACTTTTCCTGGAGTTCCTGCTGACATTCCCGTGTCCCGTTTCGTTCCCAGCCGGTGCCTACGTGGCCCTGACCCTGCTGGGGTCCCCCCCCGGCTCCGTGGGAATTCCGGGATCCCAGCAGGAGCCGGAGCCCCCGGGGTGTCCCCAGGGGCCCCCCCAGCGCATCACGGAGCCCCGGCCCCTGCAGGTGAGCCACAATTCCAGGGGGGAGCCCGGAATTCCAGGGGGGAACATGGAATTCCAGGGGGGAACCCGGAATTCCAGGGGGGAGCCCGGAATTCCAGGGGGGAGCCCGGAATTCCCTCAAGTGACCCCAAAACTCGCCCAGGAGATCCCAGAATTCCCTGAGGGGATCCCAACCCCCTCATACCCATTCCCAATATTCCCGTTATTCCCATTAAATCCATTATTCCCCCCCATGCCCATTATCCCACCAATCCCATTCTCCCATTCCCATTCTCCCATTATTCCTGTTATTCCCATTGTCATTCCTGTTGCTATTCCTGTTGTTATTCCCGCTGCCATTCCCGTTATTCCCGCTGCCATTCGCGTTATTCCCGCTGCCATTCGCGTTATTCCCGCTGCCATTCGCGTTATTCCCGCTGCCATTCGCGTTATTCCCGCTGCCATTCGCGTTATTCCCGCTGCCATTCGCGTTATTCCCGCTGCCATTCGCGTTATTCCCGCTGCCATTCGCGTTATTCCCGCTGCCATTCGCGTTATTCCCGCTGCCATTCGCGTTATTCCCGCTGCCATTCGCGTTATTCCCGCTGCCATTCGCGTTATTCCCGCTGCCATTCGCGTTATTCCCGCTGCCATTCGCGTTATTCCCGCTGCCATTCGCGTTATTCCCGCTGCCATTCGCGTTATTCCCGCTGCCATTCGCGTTATTCCCGCTGCCATTCGCGTTATTCCCGCTGCCATTCGCGTTATTCCCGCTGCCATTCGCGTTATTCCCGCTGCCATTCGCGTTATTCCCGCTGCCATTCGCGTTATTCCCGCTGCCATTCGCGTTATTCCCGCTGCCATTCGCGTTATTCCCGCTGCCATTCGCGTTATTCCCGCTGCCATTCGCGTTATTCCCGCTGCCATTCGCGTTATTCCCGCTGCCATTCGCGTTATTCCCGCTGCCATTCGCGTTATTCCCGCTGCCATTCGCGTTATTCCCGCTGCCATTCGCGTTATTCCCGCTGCCATTCGCGTTATTCCCGCTGCCATTCGCGTTATTCCCGCTGCCATTCGCGTTATTCCCGCTGCCATTCGCGTTATTCCCGCTGCCATTCGCGTTATTCCCGCTGCCATTCGCGTTATTCCCGCTGCCATTCGCGTTATTCCCGCTGCCATTCGCGTTATTCCCGCTGCCATTCGCGTTATTCCCGCTGCCATTCGCGTTATTCCCGCTGCCATTCGCGTTATTCCCGCTGCCATTCGCGTTATTCCCGCTGCCATTCGCGTTATTCCCGCTGCCATTCGCGTTATTCCCGCTGCCATTCGCGTTATTCCCGCTGCCATTCGCGTTATTCCCGCTGCCATTCGCGTTATTCCCGCTGCCATTCGCGTTATTCCCGCTGCCATTCGCGTTATTCCCGCTGCCATTCGCGTTATTCCCGCTGCCATTCGCGTTATTCCCGCTGCCATTCGCGTTATTCCCGCTGCCATTCGCGTTATTCCCGCTGCCATTCGCGTTATTCCCGCTGCCATTCGCGTTATTCCCGCTGCCATTCGCGTTATTCCCGCTGCCATTCGCGTTATTCCCGCTGCCATTCGCGTTATTCCCGCTGCCATTCGCGTTATTCCCGCTGCCATTCGCGTTATTCCCGCTGCCATTCGCGTTATTCCCGCTGCCATTCGCGTTATTCCCGCTGCCATTCGCGTTATTCCCGCTGCCATTCGCGTTATTCCCGCTGCCATTCGCGTTATTCCCGCTGCCATTCGCGTTATTCCCGCTGCCATTCGCGTTATTCCCGCTGCCATTCGCGTTATTCCCGCTGCCATTCGCGTTATTCCCGCTGCCATTCGCGTTATTCCCGCTGCCATTCGCGTTATTCCCGCTGCCATTCGCGTTATTCCCGCTGCCATTCGCGTTATTCCCGCTGCCATTCGCGTTATTCCCGCTGCCATTCGCGTTATTCCCGCTGCCATTCGCGTTATTCCCGCTGCCATTCGCGTTATTCCCGCTGCCATTCGCGTTATTCCCGCTGCCATTCGCGTTATTCCCGCTGCCATTCGCGTTATTCCCGCTGCCATTCGCGTTATTCCCGCTGCCATTCGCGTTATTCCCGCTGCCATTCGCGTTATTCCCGCTGCCATTCGCGTTATTCCCGCTGCCATTCGCGTTATTCCCGCTGCCATTCGCGTTATTCCCGCTGCCATTCGCGTTATTCCCGCTGCCATTCGCGTTATTCCCGCTGCCATTCGCGTTATTCCCGCTGCCATTCGCGTTATTCCCGCTGCCATTCGCGTTATTCCCGCTGCCATTCGCGTTATTCCCGCTGCCATTCGCGTTATTCCCGCTGCCATTCGCGTTATTCCCGCTGCCATTCGCGTTATTCCCGCTGCCATTCGCGTTATTCCCGCTGCCATTCGCGTTATTCCCGCTGCCATTCGCGTTATTCCCGCTGCCATTCGCGTTATTCCCGCTGCCATTCGCGTTATTCCCGCTGCCATTCGCGTTATTCCCGCTGCCATTCGCGTTATTCCCGCTGCCATTCGCGTTATTCCCGCTGCCATTCGCGTTATTCCCGCTGCCATTCGCGTTATTCCCGCTGCCATTCGCGTTATTCCCGCTGCCATTCGCGTTATTCCCGCTGCCATTCGCGTTATTCCCGCTGCCATTCGCGTTATTCCCGCTGCCATTCGCGTTATTCCCGCTGCCATTCGCGTTATTCCCGCTGCCATTCGCGTTATTCCCGCTGCCATTCGCGTTATTCCCGCTGCCATTCGCGTTATTCCCGCTGCCATTCGCGTTATTCCCGCTGCCATTCGCGTTATTCCCGCTGCCATTCGCGTTATTCCCGCTGCCATTCGCGTTATTCCCGCTGCCATTCGCGTTATTCCCGCTGCCATTCGCGTTATTCCCGCTGCCATTCGCGTTATTCCCGCTGCCATTCGCGTTATTCCCGCTGCCATTCGCGTTATTCCCGCTGCCATTCGCGTTATTCCCGCTGCCATTCGCGTTATTCCCGCTGCCATTCGCGTTATTCCCGCTGCCATTCGCGTTATTCCCGCTGCCATTCGCGTTATTCCCGCTGCCATTCGCGTTATTCCCGCTGCCATTCGCGTTATTCCCGCTGCCATTCGCGTTATTCCCGCTGCCATTCGCGTTATTCCCGCTGCCATTCGCGTTATTCCCGCTGCCATTCGCGTTATTCCCGCTGCCATTCGCGTTATTCCCGCTGCCATTCGCGTTATTCCCGCTGCCATTCGCGTTATTCCCGCTGCCATTCGCGTTATTCCCGCTGCCATTCGCGTTATTCCCGCTGCCATTCGCGTTATTCCCGCTGCCATTCGCGTTATTCCCGCTGCCATTCGCGTTATTCCCGCTGCCATTCGCGTTATTCCCGCTGCCATTCGCGTTATTCCCGCTGCCATTCGCGTTATTCCCGCTGCCATTCGCGTTATTCCCGCTGCCATTCGCGTTATTCCCGCTGCCATTCGCGTTATTCCCGCTGCCATTCGCGTTATTCCCGCTGCCATTCGCGTTATTCCCGCTGCCATTCGCGTTATTCCCGCTGCCATTCGCGTTATTCCCGCTGCCATTCGCGTTATTCCCGCTGCCATTCGCGTTATTCCCGCTGCCATTCGCGTTATTCCCGCTGCCATTCGCGTTATTCCCGCTGCCATTCGCGTTATTCCCGCTGCCATTCGCGTTATTCCCGCTGCCATTCGCGTTATTCCCGCTGCCATTCGCGTTATTCCCGCTGCCATTCGCGTTATTCCCGCTGCCATTCGCGTTATTCCCGCTGCCATTCGCGTTATTCCCGCTGCCATTCGCGTTATTCCCGCTGCCATTCGCGTTATTCCCGCTGCCATTCGCGTTATTCCCGCTGCCATTCGCGTTATTCCCGCTGCCATTCGCGTTATTCCCGCTGCCATTCGCGTTATTCCCGCTGCCATTCGCGTTATTCCCGCTGCCATTCGCGTTATTCCCGCTGCCATTCGCGTTATTCCCGCTGCCATTCGCGTTATTCCCGCTGCCATTCGCGTTATTCCCGCTGCCATTCGCGTTATTCCCGCTGCCATTCGCGTTATTCCCGCTGCCATTCGCGTTATTCCCGCTGCCATTCGCGTTATTCCCGCTGCCATTCGCGTTATTCCCGCTGCCATTCGCGTTATTCCCGCTGCCATTCGCGTTATTCCCGCTGCCATTCGCGTTATTCCCGCTGCCATTCGCGTTATTCCCGCTGCCATTCGCGTTATTCCCGCTGCCATTCGCGTTATTCCCGCTGCCATTCGCGTTATTCCCGCTGCCATTCGCGTTATTCCCGCTGCCATTCGCGTTATTCCCGCTGCCATTCGCGTTATTCCCGCTGCCATTCGCGTTATTCCCGCTGCCATTCGCGTTATTCCCGCTGCCATTCGCGTTATTCCCGCTGCCATTCGCGTTATTCCCGCTGCCATTCGCGTTATTCCCGCTGCCATTCGCGTTATTCCCGCTGCCATTCGCGTTATTCCCGCTGCCATTCGCGTTATTCCCGCTGCCATTCGCGTTATTCCCGCTGCCATTCGCGTTATTCCCGCTGCCATTCGCGTTATTCCCGCTGCCATTCGCGTTATTCCCGCTGCCATTCGCGTTATTCCCGCTGCCATTCGCGTTATTCCCGCTGCCATTCGCGTTATTCCCGCTGCCATTCGCGTTATTCCCGCTGCCATTCGCGTTATTCCCGCTGCCATTCGCGTTATTCCCGCTGCCATTCGCGTTATTCCCGCTGCCATTCGCGTTATTCCCGCTGCCATTCGCGTTATTCCCGCTGCCATTCGCGTTATTCCCGCTGCCATTCGCGTTATTCCCGCTGCCATTCGCGTTATTCCCGCTGCCATTCGCGTTATTCCCGCTGCCATTCGCGTTATTCCCGCTGCCATTCGCGTTATTCCCGCTGCCATTCGCGTTATTCCCGCTGCCATTCGCGTTATTCCCGCTGCCATTCGCGTTATTCCCGCTGCCATTCGCGTTATTCCCGCTGCCATTCGCGTTATTCCCGCTGCCATTCGCGTTATTCCCGCTGCCATTCGCGTTATTCCCGCTGCCATTCGCGTTATTCCCGCTGCCATTCGCGTTATTCCCGCTGCCATTCGCGTTATTCCCGCTGCCATTCGCGTTATTCCCGCTGCCATTCGCGTTATTCCCGCTGCCATTCGCGTTATTCCCGCTGCCATTCGCGTTATTCCCGCTGCCATTCGCGTTATTCCCGCTGCCATTCGCGTTATTCCCGCTGCCATTCGCGTTATTCCCGCTGCCATTCGCGTTATTCCCGCTGCCATTCCCGCTGCCGTTCCCATTGCCATTCCCGCCGTTCCCGCTGCATTCCCGCCGTTCCCGCCGCCGTTCCCGCTGCATTCCTGCCGTTCCCACCGCCGTTCCCGCTGCATTCCCGCGCTGTCCCTGTCCCGCAGGACCCCGAGGTGCAGAAGCACGCGGCGCAGATCCTGCGCAACATGCTGCGCCAGGAGGAGGCCGAGCTGCAGGTGCTCCCCCTTCTCCTCTGCTCCCACTTTTCCGGGGGGGTTTTGGGTTTTTTGGGAATTGTTGGGATTTTCTGAGGATTTTTTTTTATTTTTCGGGTTTGGTTTTGTTTTTTTTTTTTGTGACTTTCATGGGATTATTTTGGGGGGGGAGATTTTCTGGGATATTTTTTTTTATTATTTTCTGGGATTTTCTGGGATTTAATTTGTTATTTTTCGATGTTTCCTGGGTGTTTTCCCGGGGTTCCCTGGGAATGCTGTGGGAATTCCCTCTCCCTCCCAGCATTTCCGTGAAAAACCCCGGAAAACCCCAGGCAGAGCAGTGGAATGTTTGGGGATTTTCCTGAGATTATTTATTATTTTCTGGGATTTTCTGGGATTTTTAAAAATTATTTCCTGGGATTATTCTTTATTATTTTCCGGTGTTTCCTGGGTGTTTCCCGGGTGTTTTCCCTGGGAATGCTGTGGGAATTCCATCCCTGTGTGTCCCAGCGTTCCCATGAAAAACCCCGGAAAACCGCAGGCAGAGCAGTGGCATGTTTGGGGGATTTTCCTGAGATTATTTTTTTTTTATTATTTTCTGGGATTATTTTTTATTATTTTCCGGTGTTTCCTGGGTGTTTCCCGGGTGTTTTCCCTGGGAATGCTGTGGGAATTCCATCCCTGTGTGTCCCAGTGTTTCCATGAATAACCCCGGAAAACCGCAGGCAGAGCGGTGGCGTGTTGGGGGATTTTCCTGAGGATTTATTTTATGATTTTCTGGGTTGTTCCCCGGTGTTCCCGGTGTTCCCGGTGTTCCCGGCGGCGTTCCATGCCCGCGGCAGCGCTTCCAGGAGCTGCTGCAGCGGCAGCCGGGCGCGGCGCTGGAGGAGCAGCTGGAGGGGGCGCGGCGCCGGCTCAGCCAGCTGCAGCTGAAGGTGCTGCAGGAGGCGCGCGGAGCCGCGGTACGGCCGGGAGCGGGCCGGGAACGGGCCGGGAACGGTCTGGGAACGGGATGGGAACGGGCCGGGAACGGGATGGGAACGGGATGGGAAGGGGCCGGGAACGGGATGGGAATGGGATGGGAACAGGATGGGAATGGGGATGGGAACGGGATGGGAATGGGGCTGGGAATGGGATGGGAACGGGATGGGAACGGGATAGGAATGGGGCTGGGAACGGGATGGGAACGGGCCGGGAACGGGATGGGAACGGGATGGGAACGGGATGGGAACGGGATGGGAACGGGATGGGAACGGGATGGGAACGGGATGGGAACGGGATGGGAACGGGATGGGAACGGGATGGGAACGGGATGGGAACGGGATGGGAACGGGATGGGAACGGGATGGGAACGGGATGGGAACGGGATGGGAACGGGATGGGAACGGGATGGGAACGGGATGGGAACGGGATGGGAACGGGATGGGAACGGGATGGGAACGGGATGGGAACGGGATGGGGGTGGGGACGGGATGGGAACGGGATGGGAACGGGCTGGGAACGGGATGGGAACGGGGCTGGGAACGGGATGGGAACGGGATGGGAACGGGCCGGGAACGGGATGGGAACGGGATGGGAACGGGATGGGAACGGGATGGGAATGGGGCTGGGAACGGGATGGGAATGGGATGGGAATGGAGCCGGGAGCGGGGCTGGGAGTGGATCTGGGAATGGATCTGGGAACGGGCTGGGAATGGAGCTGGGAATGGGATGGGAGCGGGGCTGGGAATGGGATGGGAATGGATCTAGGGAATGAGCCAGGAACGGAGCTGGGAATGAGCCAGGAGTGATATGGGAATGGATCTGGGAATGAGCCGGGAATGAGATGGGAATGATCCAGGAATTCTGGCAAGGATCCTGGGAATTATGTGAGAATGGATCCTGGAATGGATCAGGGAATATTCTGGGAATAATCCTGGGAAGGATCAGGGAATTCTGGGAATGATCCAGGAATGAATCTGGGAATAAGTCTGGGAATGATCCTGGGAATAAATCCAGAAATTCTGGGAATAAATCTGGCGATAAATCAGGGAATGATCCCAGGAATAAATCTGGGAATAAATCCAGAAATTCTGGGAATCCCAGGATGCTTTTCCCAAAAAATAAAACTGGGGGTGGAGGGGCTCGGTGGGAATCGTGGGTGAAGGTGGGAATTCCCTCATTCCCGGATTTCTGGGATCCCTTTTTCCCTTTTCTGCCTTTCCTGGGAATTCCCTGCCCTTTCCCTGACCCCGTGTCCCTTTTCCCAGGATTTGGGCTCCCGGCCCCTGGAAGGGGAGGCTCCCCGGGGCTCCCCGCAGCTCCCGGGGCGTTTCCCCAGGGATCCCCAGGATGGGGACCCAGGGCTGGAATCCGCAGAGGTGAGGGGAATGCCGGGAAAAATCCGGGAAGAATCCGGGAGAAATCCGGGAAAAGGGCGGGGAGGAGTTCGGGAAGATCTGGGAAAAGCGGGGGGAAACTGCAGGGAAAGTTTGGGAAGAGAGGGTGAAAGTTCCAGGAAAGGTTTGGGAGGAAGGGGGAGAAATTCCAGGAAAAGTTTGGGAAAAGCCTGGGGGGGGAAATTCCAGGGAGAAGGTGAGGGGGGGAAATTGAGGGAAAAACAAGGGAAAAAGGGGGGGAAAATCTGGGGAAAGGGGGTGAAAATTCTGGGAAAAACAGAGGGAATTCCAGGAAAAGTTTGGTAAAAGGGGGGAAAATTCCAGGAGAGGGAAAAACTCCCCCCAGAATTTGGGATCCCCTGGAATTCCCGGCTCCCTTTCCCTCTCTGGGCGTTTTTCCCTGGGAATTCCGAGGGATTTTGGGATCCCCGCCTCCCCTGGGGGTTTTTGGGATCCTGATCCCGAAATTCCCGTTCCCAGGTATCCCGGAATTCCGGCTTTTCCGAGCCCGGCAGCCCCCGGAGCTCCCCCGTGCTCGGCTCCCGCCTCTCCACGGATCCGGTGGGGCTGGAAAATCCCGGAAAATCCGGGAAAATCCTGGGAAAATCCCGGGAATCCCCACGGGGATCCTCCCAGGGCTGTTCCCAGAGCTTGATCCCGGTTTTTTTTCGGGATAGGGATCGGGGAGGCCCCAGATCATCGGCCCTGAGGAGGATTGCGAGCCTGGCAGTGGCAGCAACGAGGTGAGGATTGCGGGAAGAGCGGGAATGGGGATTTGGGAATTCCTGGGGGGATTTTTGGGATCCTGGCACTTCCCACCTCTCCCTCTCTCTGTTCCCAGAGCGATTCCGTGTTCCAGGATTTGGGAATTCTCAAATCCCGCCCGGCCCATTTGGGAGTTTTCCTGAGGTTCCTCTTCTCCCAGGCCGATCCCACTCCTCTGGTAAGGAATTCCCAAAATTCCCGGGATTTTCTGGCCCCTGGGATCCCATTCTCAACCTCTGGCACCTCCCAGAGATTCCAGGAATATTCCTGGGAATAAAAACTGAGCAGGAATTCTGGGATTTCCTCCTCCTTGGATCCCATTCCCAGCCCCTGGCACCTCCCAGGGTGTTCCCAGGGGTTGGGATGGAGCAGAATTCCTGGGATTTCCTCAACATCCCTGGAATTTCCTGACCCTTGGGATCACATTCCCAACTTTTGGTAGCTCCCAGAGGCGCTCCCAGAGCTTCCAAGGACATTCCTGGGAATAAATCCCCAGATTTCCTCCCCGTGGGATCCCATTCCCAGCCCCTGGCGCCTCGCAGGGCGTTCCCAGGGCTGGGGGCGGAGCGGAATTCCCGGGATTTCCTCGGCATTCCCGGGATTTCCTCGGCATTCCCGCTTTCCCGCAGCTCTTCCACCTGTGCTCCGAGGTTTGCTGCCAGCAGAGCCCCCGGGAGAGCCGGGCCCTGGGCAGGGACATCTGGAACGTCTTCCTGGACAGGGTGGCGGTGAGCGCCGGCATTCCCGGGATTCGGGGCGTCCCGGGGCTGGGGGGGCTCAGGGGGTTTTGGGAGCATTTTCCAGGACTTGGAAGAATTTTGGGATGGTGTTCTGGAATTTGGGGAGCATTTTCCAGCATCTGGGGAGGATTTCCCGGGATTTTGGAGAATCTTCAGGGGTTTGGGGAGGATTTTCCAGAATTTGGGATGGATTTCCTGGGATTTTGGGATGGATTTCTCAGGATTTTGGGATGGTTTTCCCAGGATTTTGGTATGGATTTCCTGGGATTTTGGGATGAATTTTGTAAGGATTTCCCGCGATTTTGGGATGGATTTCTCAGGATTTTGGGATGGATTTCCGAGGATTTTGGGATGCATTTTGGGAAGATTTCCCGGGATTTTGGGATGGATTTCTTGGGATTTCGGGAGGATTTCCCAGGATTTTGGGATGGATTTCTTGGGATTTCGGGAGGATTTCCCGGGGGATTTTGGGATGGATTTCTTGGGATTTTGGGATGGTTTTCCCAGGATTTTGGGATGGATTTCTCGGGATTTTGGGATGGATTTCGGGAGGATTTCCCAGGATTTTGGGATGGTTTTCCCAGGATTTTGGGACGGATTTCCCATGATTTTGGGATGGATTTCCCAGGATTTTGGGATGCTTTTCCCTCTTTTCCAGCCCCTGCGGGTGAAGCTGCCGGAGCAGCTCCTGGCCGAGATCGGTGAGTTCAGAATTCCAGGAATTTCCCCCTGGAAAAGGATCCCAGGGCCGGGATTGGGAATTCCCAAACTTTTCCCCGAGCCACAGGAAAGTTGGGAATGAGCCCTGCCATGAGGGGAGCGCCCGGAGCGTTCCCAAAATCCCCAATTTCCCCAATTCCCAGAGCTGCGCCTGCGGAACGGCGACGAGCTGCGGCCGGCGCTGCTGGAGGCGCAGGAATTCCTCATCCCGGAAATCCAGGAGCAGCTCCAGGACTACAGGTGGGAGCCGCCCCAAACCCCGGGAAAATCCCAGGAAAATCCCCAGTTCTGGGAATGCCGGGAGCTCCCCGTCCCTCTTTGGGGCAGAACCTCAGGAAATCCCCGGATTTTGGGAGTTTTTGCGCCTCCCAATCCCGGTTTTTTTGCTCTTTCCCAGCAGAACCTGAGGCAAATCCCAAATGTTGGGAATTTCAGGAGCTCCCCATCCCATTGTTTTTGTTTTTCCCATGAAAACCTCAGGAGAATCGGGAATTTCGGGACATCCTGATCCCGTTTTTTTTTGGGAAATCCCAGATCTTGGGAATTCTGGGTGTTCCCAATCCCGTTTTTTCTGTTTTTCCTGCAGAACCAAGTAGAAAATCCCAAATTTGGGGAATTTCGGGACTTTCTGAGCGCTCCCAATCCTGGTTTTTTTTAGCTTTTCCTGGAGAGCCAAGTGGGACATCCCAGATTTTGGGAATGTTGGGAATTCCAGGAGTTCTGATCCCGTTTTTTTTAGCTTTTCCCAGAGAGCCAGGCAGGACATGCCAGATTTTGGGAATGTTGGGAATTCCAGGAGTTCCCAATCCCATTTTTTTTTTAGCTTTTCCTAGAGAGGCAAGCGGGACGTGCCGGATTTTGGGAATGTTGGGAATTCCAGCAGTTCTGATCCTGGTTTTTTTAGCTTTTCCCGGAGAGGCAGGCGGGACATGCCGTGTTTTGGGAATGCTGGGGATTCCAGGCGCTCTGATCCCGTGGTTTTCCAGGACGAAGCGCACGCTGGGGCTGGGCAGCCTCTACGGGGAGAACGAGCTGCAGGAGCTGGAGCTGGGGAACGGCCCCCGGGAGCCGCGGGAACGCCGGGAGCGCGAGCGCGCGCTGGCCGAGCGGCAGCTGGGACACCTCGGGGACATCCTGTGAGCATTGGGAATGGTGGGAATTCCCGTGGGATCGCTGGGGTGGGCACCTCGGGGACATCCTGTGAGCATTGGGAATGGTGGGAATTCCCGTGGGATCGCTGGGGTGGGCACCTCGGGGACATCCTGTGAGCATTGGGAATGGTGGGAATTCCCGTGGGATCGCTGGGATGGGCACCTCAGGGATGTCCCGTGAGGATTTGGGATCAATTCCCTTGGGATCATTGGGAATTCCTGATGGGATCGCTGGGATGCGCACCTCGGGGGCGTCCTGTGAGGATTTGGGATCGTTGGGAATTCCCGTGGGATCGTCGGGATTGGCCACCTCGGGGACATTCTGTGAGGATTTGGGATCGCTGGGAATTCCCATGGGACCATTGGGAATTCCTGATGGAATCATTGCGCATTCCTGATGGGGTCGTTGGGATCATCGGGATTGGCCACCTCGAGGACATCCTGTGAGGAGGGGGTTGGGAATTCCCATGGGATCATCGGGAATTCCTGATGGGATCGTCGGGGACGTCCCGTGAGGATTTGGGATCGCTGGGAATTCCCATGGGATCTTTGGCAATTCCTGATGGGATCGTTGGGATGGGCACCTCGGGGACGTCCCCTGAGGATTGGGGGATCTTTGGGAATTCTTATGGGATTTGGGATTGGCACCTAGGGGACACCCTGTGAGAGCGGGGATTGGGAATTCCTGGTGGGGTTGGAATCTTCCGGAATTCCTGGTGGGATTCGGGAATTCCTGATGGGATTGTGGGGCTGCAGTGGGAATTTTGGGAGTGGGAATGGGAATTTTGGGAGTGGGAAGGGGAATTTGGGATTGGGGATGGAAGACTCCAAGGAATTCCTTTTCCCGCAGCTCCAAGTACGAGGAGGAGCGGAGGTGAGCGGATCCAGCGGGGAAAAATCTGGGAATTTGGGCCATTCCCGATTTTCCCTGGGGAATCCTCCCCTGGAATTCCCAGTTTTCCCACTTTCCCCTCTCCCAGCGGATCCGGGCCCCTGGGGATCCCGGGAATTCCGGGAATTCTGCCGGTCCCACCCTCTGGAATTCTCTCTCCCAGCTCTCCCATGGCCTTCGCCCTCAGCACCTTCATGGCCCACGCCGGGATCCGGCCCCGGGAATTCCGGGAATCCCGGGAATCCCGCAACCCCGGAGCCTCCGAGAAGCTGCCGGACAAGGACAAGTGGCTGCCCTTCTTCCCCAAGGCCAAAAAGGTGGGAATGCCCAGGAATTCCCGGGAATTCCCAGGAGCAGCTCCGGGAGGAGATCCCAGGGGTCCAGCCTGGGGGTCTCGGGGGGAATCCTGGGAATTTTCGCCCAAATCCTGGGAATTTTAGACCTGAATTCCGGGATTTCTTGACCCAGATCCTGGGATTTGGGATGGGAATTCGGGATGTGGGATGGGGATTTAGGATTTAGGATGGAAATTGGGGATTTAGTATGGAAATTGGGAATTCGGGATGGGATTCTGGGGTTTGGGCCGGGGAATTCCCGGGATTCCGAGCGATTCCAGGATTTTTTCCCAACAGAGCAGCAGCTCCAGGAAGGAGAAGGAGCAGAGGCAGAACCCGATCCTGAAATACATCGGGAAACCCCGGAGCTCCTCCCAGAGCAGTGAGTGACACCGGAATTCCGGAGTCCGGGAATGCCTGGGCATTCCTGGGAATTCCTTGGCATTTTACAGGGATTTTCTTCAGAATTTTTCTGGAATTTCCTGGGATTTTCTTGGGACTCTCCTAGGATTTTCCTGGGATTTTCCCTGGAATTCCCCGAATTCCCCTGGAATTCCCTGATCCCAGCCTCATTCCCGCATTCCCATCCCGTTCTTTTCCGTTCTCATCCCATCAGCATTCCCGAATTCCCGCTTTTCCCCCGGGATTTTGGGAATTTTGACATCTCCTCTTTGTTTTCCAGCATTTCATGTCCCCCTGTCCCCTGCGGAAGGTAAAAATTCCCAAATTTTTTGTTGCTTTCCTTCATTTTTCCATGATTTTTTTTTCCCTTGGTTTTGGGGTTTATTCCCGTTTTGCCTTCCCTGATGAAATTCCTGGGAACTCTGGGATTTGAGGGGTTGGGATTTGGGATTTAGGAATTCAGGGTTTATTGGGGTTCAGGATTCAGCATGGGAAATTCGGGAATTGGGATCAGGTTTAGGATTTGGGATGGGAATTTACGGTGGCAAATTTGGGGATTTGGGATCGGGAATTTTGGGATTTAGGATTGGGAATTTAGGATTTTAGGATGGGAATTTGGGGATTTAGGATGGGAAATTCAGGATTAAGGATCAGGAATTTGGGATTAAGGATCGGGAATTTTGGGATTTAGAATCGGGAATTTTGGATTTGGGGTGGGAATTTTTGGGATTTCGGACGGGAAATTCAGGATTTGGGCTGGGAATTGTCTCTGAGGCCCCCCCAGATCCCGGAATTCCGGGTTTTTCCCAGCAGTGAAGCCGGGGAACGTCCGGACCATGATCCAGCACTTTGAGAACAGCCACGGGGAGCCCCCGGAGCCGGGCTCGCAGCGCCTCTCCACGGGCAGCATTCCCGAGGAGCTGCTGGAGCCCGACGGGTGAGCGCCCGCAATCCCATCCCGGGGCTCCCCTGAAATCCCGGGATTCCCCCAAAATCCCGGGGTTCCCCTGAAATCCCGGGATCCCCCTGAAATCCCGGGATTCCCCTGAAATCTCGGGCATTCCCCCGAAATCCCGGGATTCCCCTGAAATCCTGTGGTGTTTTTTCTCTAAATTCCATTCCTTCTGCCACCATTCCTTGTTTCTTCCCCGAAATCCCAGGACCTTTTCCCCCTCTAAATCCTGCCGTATTTTCTCCAAATTCCCTGGTTTTTGTCTCCAAATTCCATGATGTTCCCCCTGAATCCCAGGGATTTTTGTGCTAAATCCCGGGATCTTTTCCCTAAGTCTGGGAATTTCTGCCGTAAATCCTTGGGATTTTTGCCCTAAATTCTGGGATTTTTTCCCGTAATTCCTGGGGATTTTTTGCCGTGATTCCTGTGATTTTTTGCCGTAATTCCTGGGGATTTTTTACCGTAATTCCTGTGATTTTTTGCTGTAATTCCTGGGGATTTTTTGCCGTAATTCCTGGGGATTTTTGCCGTAATTCCTGGGGATTTTTTCCGTAATTCCCACTTCTCCCCGTCCCCGTTAGCTCGCGCTGCGAGGTGCGCCTGGGCCGCTCGGAGTCGCTGAAGGGGCGGGAGGAGCTGCGGCGCTCGCGGCGCGCCGAGCTGGTGCCGCGCTCGCGCAGCGACGTGGACATGGACACGGGCAGCGAGCCCCCCCGGCTGCACTCCGCCTCCTCCTCCGCCTCCAGCCTCTCCAACAGGTGGGACATCCCGGGATTCCGGAATTCCGGAGGGCCCAGCCCCAGGTTTGGGGTGACGGGGCTCTGGGAGCAAACTCTGGGGAGCTGGGAGCGTCGGGATCAGGGGAATTTGGGATTTGGGCTTTTTGGGAGGGGCTTTGCACCTCCAGCCTCTCCAACAGGTGGGAAATCCCAGGAATCCCGGAATTCCCAGAATTCCGGAGGGCCCAGCCCCAGATTTTGGGGTTTGGGATGGAAGTCTGGGAAAGGAGGGGAAACTGGGATCGTGGGAAGTTTGGGATTTGGGGTTTTTGGGATTGGGATTTAGGGGGTTGGAGGGAGGGGGTTTTATTCCTTCAGCTCCCAAATTCCTGCAGAACCCATGGAAAAATCCATGGAAAAATCCATGGAACGTAACGGGCTTTGGGGCTGAATCCCTGGATTTCGAGGGTGAACTCATCAGGATCGGGGAAAACTTGGGATTTTGGGACACCCCAGGGGGATTTTTCCCTTCTTTTCCCAGATCCCTGGAAAATCCCACCCCCCCCTACACGCCAAAGATGGGGCGCAGGTGAGTGACCCCCCTGGAATTCCCATTCCCAGTTTTCCCCATTTCTCCCTCTTTTTTCCCCATTTTTTTAATCATTATTTCCCCATTTTCCCCCCCAAATTTCCCCCAATTTTTTCCCCCCAATTTTCCCCGTTTTTCCCTCTTTTTTCCCACTTTTTCCCTCATTCTTTCTCAATTTTTCCCCCTTCTTTCCCCATTTTTCCCCTCTTTTTCCCCCCAATTTTCCCTGTTTTTCCCTCTTTTTTCCCCACTTTTTCCCTCAATCTTTCCCCCTTCTTTCCCCATTTTTCCCCCCATTTTTCCCATTTCCAGGAGCATGGATTCTCCCAGCCTGGGCTTCGGGGCCGACCCCTTCCTCCCGCACCTCCTGGAGGACGAGCAGGGCCCCGTCCCCGACCTGGAGCCGGACCCCGACCCCCAAAATCCCCAAAATTCCCAGGCCAGCTCCCAGAGCTGGCAGCAGAATTCCCAGAGCTGGCAGCACTCGGTGAGCCGGGAGCTGCTGGCCAGCCTGCCCCAGCGGGAGGTGGATCGCCAGGAGGTCATCAACGGTGGGGAGCAGGGAATCCCGGGAATGCCGGGAATGCCGGGGGGCTGGAGCGGGGGGATGCTTCTGGGGGGTGAATCCTGGGGTTTGGGGCTCATTCCTGGGTTTGGGGCTCATTCCTGGGTTTGGGGCTCATTTCTGGGATTTGGGGCTCATTCCTAGGGTTTGGGGGCTCTCTCCCAGCCCTTTTCCAGGATTTGGGGTCTCACTCCTGGGATTTGGGATCTCATTCCTGTTTTTTCCCCAGGATTTGGGGCTGGTTTTGGGGTGCTGGGGCTGGTTCTGGGGCTGCTTCTGGAATTGGATGTCCCCAGTGTCCCCAGAGCTGTTTGTCACCGAGCTGTCCCCCTGTGGGTGCTGTCCCCGTGTCCCCAATGTCCCCTGTGCTGTCCCCAGAGCTGTTTGTCACCGAGCTGTCCCACCTGCGCATCCTGCGCGTTCTGGATTTGCTTTTCTTCCAACGCCTGCGCCGGGAGCAGCTGCTGAGCCGGGAGGAGCTGGGGCTGCTCTTCCCCAACCTGCCCGACCTCATCGACGTGCACAGTGAGCGAAATCCCCAAATTCCCAAATTCCCAAATCCCCAAATCCCCAAAATCCCAAAGTTCCTGACCCCACCGGTTCCCCAAATCCCACTGGGATCCTGCTCTTCCCCAACCTGCCCAGCCTCGCTGATCTGCACAGTGAGACAGATCTCTGGAATTCCCAAAATCCCAAATTTGCCTCCCTTTTTCCCCCCTTTTCCCCCTTTTTCCCCCCTTTTCCCCCTTTTTCCCCCCTTTTCCCCCTTTTTCCCCCCTTTTCCCCCTTTTTCCCCCCTTTTCCCCCTTTTTCCCCCCTTTTCCCCCTTTTTCCCCCCTTTTCCCCCTTTTTCCCCCCTTTTCCCCCTTTTTCCCCCCTTTTCCCCCTTTTTCCCCCCTTTTCCCCCTTTTTCCCCCCTTTTCCCCCTTTTTCCCCCCTTTTCCCCCTTTTTCCCCCCTTTTCCCCCTTTTTCCCCCCTTTTCCCCCTTTTTCCCCCCTTTTCCCCCTTTTTCCCCCCTTTTCCCCCCTTTTCCCCTTTTTTCCCCCTTTCCCCCCCCCTTTTTCCCCTTTTTTCCCCTTTTCCCCATTTTTTTCCCCTTGTTCCCCTTTCTCCCCCTTTTCCCTATTCCCCCACTCCTTCCCCCTCTCCCCGCTCCCACTCTCCCCCCACCTCTCCCTCCCCTCATTCCCAGATTCCCTCTCGGAATCCATGCGGAAGCTCCGGGAGGAGCAGGGACCCATCATCGCCGAGATCGGCGACCTCATGCTGGCCCGGGTAGGAGCCCGTCCCTCCCTCGCTCCCTCCCTCCCCGCGGCCGCGGAGCCCCGGGCGCGGCGGGGCTCCCGGCAATCGCGGGGTGCCAACGCCGCTTTCCCGCGGCGTTCCCAGTTCGAGGGCGCTGCCAAGGAGGAGTTCCAGCGCGTGGCCGCCGCCTTCTGCTCCTCGCAGTCGGTGGCGCTGGAGCTGATCCGCACCAAGCAGCGCAAGGAGAGCCGCTTCCAGCTCTTCATGCAGGTCTGCGCCGCTCGGGACCCTCCCGCCTGCCCTTCCACCTGCTGCTTCCCTTCCTGCCTCCCTGGGTTTTCCCCTTTTCCCCCTTGGTTTCGCCCGGCGGGGTCAGGAATTTCCGGGATTTGGGGATTTCAGTGGTTTGGGATTTCGGGGGTTTTGGGCGCGCTGAGGATTTTGGGATTTGGGGAAGCAGTGGGCGTCAGGAACTTCGCGATTTGGGTAAGCAGTGAGGGCAGGAATTTCAGGATTCCGGGATTTGGGGAAGCAGTGAGGGCAGGAATTTCAGGATTCCGGGATTTGGGGAAACTGTGAGGGCAGGAACTTGGGGATTATCGGGATTCCGGGAACCAATGGAGTGAGGAAGTCCGGGATTTTGGGAAGCAGTGAGGTGAGGAAGTCCGGGATTTTGGAAAGCAGTGGGACCAGGAACTTCAGGATTCCGGGATTTGGGGAAGCAGTGAGGGCAGGAATTTCAGGATTCCGGGATTTGGGGAAACTGTGAGGGCAGGAACTTGGGGATTATCGGGATTCCGGGAACCAATGGAGTGAGGAAGTCCGGGATTTTGGGAAGCAGTGAGGTGAGGAAGTCCGGGATTTTGGAAAGCAGTGGGACCAGGAACTCCAGGATTTGGGGAAGCAGAGGGGTGACAAACTCCAGGATTTGGGAAGCAGAGGGATCAGGAGCTGGGTGACCGGGGAAGCAGAGGGGTGACAAACTCCAGGATTTGGGGAAGCAGAGGGGTGACAAACTCCAGGATTTGGGGAAGCAGAGGGATCAGGAGCTGGGTGATTTGGGAAGCAGAGGGATCAGGGGCTGGGTGACCGGGGAAGCAGAGGGGTGACAAACTCCAGGATTTGGGAAGCAGAGGGGTCAGGGGCTGGGTGATTTGGGAAGCAGAGGGGTCAGGGGCTGGGTGACCGGGGTGCCCTGCCCTCCCAGGAGGCCGAGAGCAACCCGCAGTGCCGGCGGCTGCAGCTGAAGGACCTGCTGATCGCCGAGATGCAGCGCCTCACCAAGTACCCGCTGCTGCTGGACAACGTCATCAAGTGCACCCCGGGTAGGGACAGGAGCGCCCGGAATTCCAGCCTCTGTCCTGCAATTCCTCATTCCCTTCGCCCCCCACTTCCCCTTCCCTGCTTTCCCACTGTTTTCCCTGTTAGTCCCCTGTTTTCCCCTGGATTTTTGCCATTTTCCCCTGGATCTTGCCTTGGATTTCATCCCTTTTTTCTCTGGATCTTTCCATGGGTTTTTCTCGTTATCCCATGGGTTTTTCCCAAGATTTCCCCATTCCCAGCAGGCTCCCCAGAGCAGCAGAAGCTGCTTCATGCCCAGGATCAGTGACTCCTGTCCCAATTTCCCCTGGATTTTCCCCATTTCTCCCTGGGTTTCCCAGCAGCCTCTGTGGAGCAGGAGAAGCTGCTCCGTGTATGGGATCAGTGATCTCAGTCCCATTTCCCCCTGGATTTTCCCCATGATTTTCCCCTGGATTTTCCTCTGGATTTTCCTCTGGATTGTCCCCATTTCCCCCATGATTTCCCCTGGATTTCCCCATTTCTCCCCGTTTCTCCCAGTTTTTCCCAGCGGGCTCCCCAGAGCAGCAGAAGCTGCTGCGTGCCTGATCAGTGATCTCAGTCCCATTTCCCCCTGGATTTCCCCATGATTTCCCCATGATTTTCCTCTGGATTTTCCCCTGGATTTCCCCATGATTTTCCCCTGAATTTTCCCCATTTCCCCCTGGATTTCCCCATGATTTCCCCCTGGATTTCCCCATGATTTCCCCATGATTTTCCCCTGGATTTCCCCATGATTTCCCCCTGGATTTTCCCCATTTCCCCCAGGATTTCCCCTGGATCTCCCCCCGTTTCTCCCCTCCCAGCGGGCTCCCAGGAGCAGCAGAAGCTGCTGCGTGCCCGATCAGTGATCTCAGTCCCGTTTTCCCCTGGATTTCCCCTGGATTTTCCCCATGATTTTCCTCTGGATTTTCCCCTGGATTTCCCCATGATTTCCCCCTGGATTTTCCCCATTTCCCCCTGGATTTTCCCATAATTTCCCCTGGATCTCCCCCCGTTTCTCCCCTCCCAGCGGGCTCCCCGGAGCAGCAGAAGCTGCTGCGTGCCCGATCAGAGATCTCAGTCCCGTTTCCCCCTGGATTTCCCCCGTTTCCTCCCGTTTCTCCCGGTTGTTCCCAGCGGGCTCCCCGGAGCAGCAGAAGCTGCTGCGTGCCCGTGACCAGAGCCGGGAGGTGCTGCGGGCGGTCAACGAGGCGGTGCGGCGCGCCGAGAACCGGCAGCGCCTGCGGGAGCACCAGCGGCGCCTGGACACCTCGGCGCTGGAGAGGACCAGCAACCCCCTGGCCGCGGAATTCCGGGTATTCCCGCTGCTCCTGGCCCGCTGGGAGCCCCGCTGCAGCCCGGCTTTCCCTGGGAACCCCTGGGCTTTGTGGGGATGCCCCACTTTTCCATGGGAATCCCCCATTGTTCCATGGGAATCCCTCGGTTTTCTGTGGAAATCCCCTTTTCTGCACCCTGACTTTCCTTGGGAATCCATGGGTTTGATGGGAATCCCCCAGTTTTCCATGGAAATCCCCCAGTTTTTCATGGAAATCCCCCAGTTTTTCATGGAAATCCCCCATTTTTCCATGGATATTCCCCCTTTTTTCCATGGAAATTCCCCACTTTTCCATGGATATCCCCCATTTTTCCATGGGCAATCCCCCATTTATCTGTGGAAAACCCATCTTTTTCCTTGCAAAACACCATTGCTGTGTTGTGTTCCCCATAGATTTTGGGGTGTTTTCCCTGGATTTTGGTGTGTTTCCCATGGGTTTTGGGATGTTTCCCATGGGTTTTGGTGTGTTTCCTGTGAATTTTGGGGTGTTTTTCCTGGATTTTGGTGTGTTTCCCATGGGTTTTGGGATGTTTCCCATGGGTTTTGGTGTGTTTCCTGTGAATTTTGGGGTGTTTTTCCTGGGTTTTGGTGTGTTTCCCCTGGGTTTTGGGGTGTTTCCCATGAATTTTGGAGTGTTTCCCATGGGTTTTGGGGTGTTTCCCATGAATTTTGGGGTGTTTTTCCTGGGTTTTGGTGTGTTTCCCCTGGGTTTTGGGGTGTTTCCCATGAATTTTGGAGTGTTTCCCATGGGTTTTGGTCCCGCAGAACCTGGACCTGACCTCACACCGGATGATCCACGAGGGACCCCTGGCCTGGAGAGTGGGCAAGGACAAGAGCGTGGGTACGGACTGGGGGCAGCTGGGAGGGACTGGGATCCAAAAAAATCCCCCAAAAACTGAAAAAAAAAAAAAAAAAAAAAAAAAAAACAAAAAAAACCAAAAAAAATGTGAATTTTGGGGTGTTTTTCCTGGATTTTGGTGTGTTTCCCATGGGTTTTGGGGTGTTTCCCATGGGTTTTGGTGTGTTTCCTGTGAATTTTGGGGTGTTTTTCCTGGGTTTTGGTGTGTTTCCCCTGGGTTTTGGGGTGTTTCCCATGAATTTTGGGGTGTTTTCCCTGGATTTTGGTGTGTTTCCCATGGGTTTTGGGGTGTTTCCCATGGGTTTTGGTGTGTTTCCCATGAATTTTGGGGTGTTTTTCCTGGATTTTGGTGTGTTTCCCATGGGTTTTGGGGTGTTTCCCATGAATTTTGGAGTGTTTCCCATGGGTTTTGGTCCCGCAGAACCTGGACCTGACCTCACACCGGATGATCCACGAGGGACCCCTGGCCTGGAGAGTGGGCAAGGACAAGAGCGTGGGTACGGACTGGGGGCAGCTGGGAGGGACTGGGATCCAAAAAAATCCCCCAAAAACTGAAAAAAAAAAAAAAAAAAAATCACTAAAGAATCACCAAAAAAATCCCTCCAAAGATTAAAAAAAAATCCCTCCAAAGATTAAAAAAAAATCCCCAAAAATCCAAAAAAAATCCCCAAAAATAAAAAAAAAAATCCAAAAAAAATCCCAAAAAATCCCCCAAAAAAATCGGAAAAAAATTCCAAAAAGTTGCCGAAACCCCCTGGAATTTTGCAGACCTGCACGTGCTGCTGCTGGAGGAGCTGCTGGTGCTGCTGCAGCGCCAGGACGAGCGCTGGCTGCTCAAGTGTCACAGCAAGGGCGGCCTGGGGGGAGCCCCGGACACCAAGCAGAGCTTCAGCCCCGTGCTCAAGCTCAGCTCGCTGCTGGTGCGCTCCGTGGCCACAGGTGGGCAGGGAAATCCCGGAATTCCGGGAATTCTGGGAATGAAATGGGGGAAAACCGGGAATTTCTGGGGGGTTTGTGTAAAAAAAATGGGTTTTTTGGGGGCAAACGGGGGTTCAGCCCTGTGCTCAAACTCAGCTCACTGCTGGTGCGCTCTGGCCACAGGTGGGCAGGGAAATCAGGGAATTCCAGGAATTCTGGGAATGAAACGTGGGAAAATGGGGGGGGGTTGTGTAAAAAAACGGGATTTTCTGTTGAGGAAAAGGGGTTTTGGGGGAAAAAGGGGTGTGGGAATGGGGGCTCAGCTCAGCTTGGTGCTCATCTGCTCCATGGCCACAAGTGAGCAGGGAAACCCCGGAATTCCGGGAATTTGGGGCATTCTGGGGCTGGGAATTTTGGGAATTCTGGGAATTTTGTCCCCCCCCAGACAAGCGCGCCCTGTTCATCATCTGCACCTCGGAGCTGGGACCCCAAATCTACGAGCTGGTGGCACTGACGTCCTCGGAGAAGAACACGTGAGGGGAAATCCTGGAAAATCCCCTGGGAAGGGCTGGAAAAGTCCCTGGGGGGATGAAATCCTTGGGATGAGCCAGCAAGTTCCCTGGGATGGGCTGGGAAATTCCCGGGGGGGACCAAAATGCATGGGATGGGCTGGAAAAGTCCCTGGGAAGGGCTGGAATTCCTCCCTGGGGGGGACAGAAATCCTTGGGATGAGAGGGGAGGTCCCTGGGAAGGGCTGGAGTCCCAGCTGGAATTCCTGGCTGGAATTGCAGGTGGATGCAGCTGCTGGAGCAGGCTGTCCAAGGGGCCACCAGGAGCCTCCCGGGGCCACCAAAACAGGGACAGAGCGAGGCCAGCGGGGACGGGGCCGCCAGGTGGGAATGGGGGGATAACGGGAATGGGATGGGGGAATGGGAATGGTGGGAATGAGGGGATAACGGGAATGGGGGGAATGGGATGGGGGAATTGGATGGTGGGAATGAGGGGAATTGGATGGTGGGAATGGGAATGGGAATGGTGGGAATGGGGGGAATGGTGGGAATGGGATGGGGGAATGGGAATGGTGGGATAACGGGAATGGTGGGATAACGGGAATGGTGGGAATGGGATGGTGGGAATGAGAGGAATAATGGGAGTGGTGGGAATGAGGGGATAACGGGAATGGTGGGAATGAGGGGAATAATGGGAGTGATGGGGATAATGGGAATGGGAATGAAGGGAATGGGATAGTGGGAATGGTGGGAATGGGAGTGGGAATAACGGGAGTAATGGGGATGGGAACGCGGATGGAGCTCAGGAGGTCCCTGGTGTCCCCGGAGGGTCTCTGGGGGGGGGACTCGGGGCTGCCTGTCCTGTCCCTGTCCCTGTCCCTGTCCCTGTCCCTGTCCCGTGCCAGCCCTGTCCCGCTCCGTTCCCAGCCTGCTGCTGCCGGACCCCGCCGTGTCCCCAGAGCTGGCCCGGGACACCGAGCCCGAGGATTGCTCCTCAGGTATGCTGGGCCTCCCCTGTCCCTGTCCCCTCCTGTCCCCTCCTGTCCTGTCCCTGCTGTCCCTGTCCCTGTCCTGTCCCTGTCCCCGCTGTCCCTGTCCCTGTCCCTGTCCCCGCTGTCCCTGTCCCCTCTGCCCTGTCCCCGCCCCCGGGGGGTCCCGGCCCCGTCCCGGGAATCCCCAAATCCCTGGGAAGCGCCGGAGTGGCCGAGGCAGCGCTGGAGCATGGTGAGAGCTGGGGACAGTCCTAGGTCCCCAACTGCCCTTTGTCCATTCCCTGGGGACAATCCCAAATCCCCAACTGCCCTTTGTCCATTCCCTGGGGACAATCCCAAATCCCCAACTGCCCTTTGTCCATTCCCAGGGGACAATCCCAAATCCCCAACTGCCCTTCCTCCGTTCCCTCAGGAAACCCCAAATCCCCTTTTTCCTCCCTCTGTTCCCTCGGGAAAATCCCAAATTCCCCAGTTTTCCTTCCTCCACCCCCAGGGGAACATCCCAGATCCCTCTGTGCCCTCCCTCTCTCCCCCATCCCGGGACATTTCCCTGGAAAACCCCAAATCCCATTTTCCCTCCCCCATCCCAGTGGAGACCCTGCGGCTCCTGATTGTCCGGCAGCTCCGGGATCCCCGCCTGTCCGGGTGGGAATTCCCCGCGTCCGGCCGGGAATTCCCAACATCCGGCCGGGAATTCCCCACGTCCGGCCGGGAATTCCCAACGTCCGGCCAGGAATTCCCCACGTCCAGCCAGGACTCGGCCGCGTCCAGCCGGGATTCTGGGACGTCCAGCTGGGAATTCCCAACGTCCAGTCAGGAATTCCCAACGTCCAGCCAGGAATTCCTGGTGTCCAGCCAGGATTCTGGCATGTCCAGCCAGGAATTCCCAAAGTCCGCTCGGGAATTCCTGATGTCCACTCGGGAATTCCAAAAGTCCAGCCGGGAATTCCCGGTGTCCAGCCAGGAAGGGCCGGAGGGGCCGGAGCCCAATGGGATCCGAATCAACCGGAAAGGTAAAGGGGGATGGGCCAGGGGTCCGGGGGATTGGGGCAGGGATTTGGGGTGGGATTGGGAGAATTTTGGGACGTTTGGGGTGGGATCTGTGGGGGAATCCATGGGAATTCCCTGCAGTGCCTGCGGGATCCCTGCGGGGGTTTGGGCTTCGTCTCATTACCAGGATTTGGGGTCCCGTTCCCTGTCCCTCTCTGGGATTTGGGGTCCCGTTCCCTGCTCCTTTTGGGATTTGGGGTCCCGTTCCCTGTCCCTCTCTGGGATTTGGGGTCCTGTTCCCTGTCCCTCTCTGGGATTTGGGGTCCCGTTCCCTGCTCCTTTTGGGATTTGGGGTCTCGCTCCCTGGGTGCTGATTTCGGGTTCGTGATTTTGGGTTCTGGGTTTTGGTGCTGATATTTGGGTGTTGATTTCGGGTGTTCATTTGGGGTGCTGATCTCGGGGTGCTGATTTTGGGGTGTTGATTTCAGGGTTCTGATTTTGGGTTCTGATTTCGGGGTTCTGATTTTGGGTTCTGATTTCGGGGTTCTGATCTTGGGTTCTGATTTTGGGGTGTTGATTTCGGGTTCTGATTTCGGGTTCTGATTTCGGGTTCTGATTTTGGGGTTCTGATTTGGGTCTTGGTGCTGGGTGCCAATTTTGGGGTTCTGGTTTTGGGTGCCAATTTTGGGGTTCTGCTTTTGGGCGCCAGTTTTGGGTCCCAGCTTTGGGTGCTGGGTGCTAATTTTGGGTGCTAATTGATTTTGGGTGCTCATTTGGGGTTCTGGGTGCTGATTAATTTTGGGCGCTGATTTTGGGGTACTAATTGATTTCGGTTCTGATTTGGGGTTCTGAATGCTAATTTTGGTATTTTGGGGTGCTTCTTTTCGGTGCTGGGTGCTAATTAATTCGGGTTGCTAATTTTGGGTGCTAATTAATTTCGGGTGCCGATTTTGGGGTGCTGGGTGCTAATTAGGGGCGCTAATTAACTTCAGGGTGCTGATTTCGGGTGCCAATTCATTTCGGGTGCTAATTGGGGGATGCTCATGAACTAATTGGGGTGCTAATTAACTAATTGGGGTGCTAATTAACTAGCTGGGGTGCTAATGAACTAATTGGGGTGCTAATGAACTAATTGGGGTGCTAATTACCGCATTCCGGTGGCGGGGCTGCTCCTCCCTTCCCCTCCCCCCCCCTTTTTTGGGGGGCCCAGCCCAGGAGGAGGGGCCGGATGAGGCCACGCCCCCGCGCGGCTGCAGCCAATCAGAGCCCGAGCTGCGGGAAGGAGGCGGAGCCAGCGCCGAGGGTAACCGGCCCCTCCCCCACCCCAAAAAAAACCCCGAAAGGGCCCCAAAAACCCAAAAAGGGACACCAAAAACCAAAAAAGGGCCCCAAAAACAAAAATGGCCACCAAAAACAGAAAAATGGCCCCAAAAAAACCCCAAAAATGGCCCCAAAAAAACCCCAAAAATGGCCCCAAAAACCAAAAAAGGGCCCTAAAAACCCAAAAGGGCCACCAAAAACCAGAAATGGCCACCAAAAACCACAAAAAGGGCCCCGAAAAACCCCACCAAGAGACACCAAATTCTCCCTGGGGCCACCAAAAATCCTCTGGGGCCACCAAATCCCCCTTTGGGGCCACCAAAAACTGCAGGAGGGCCACCAGAGCCCCCGGGCCACCAGGAGCCCCCGGTGGCCGCTGAGTCCCCTGTCCCCTGCAGGGAATTTCTTCTACCTGAGCCTCCCCACGGGACCCCCCCGGCCGGGAGGGGACGTCGGGGACAGCCCTGGGGACAGCGGGGACCCCCCCCGGGCCCCCCCCGGGGACACGGAGCTGATCCTGGGGACCCTGGAGGAGCTGCGGGGGAAACTGCTGAGCCTCAGGGTGAGGGGACACTGGGGACATTGTGGGGACACTGGGGACATCACTGGGACACTGCTGAGCCTCAGGGTGAGGGGACACTGGGGACATTGGGGGGACACTGGGGACATCACTGGGAAACTGCTGAGCCTCAGGGTGAGGGGACACTGGGGACATTGGGGGGACACTGGGGACATCACTGGGACACTGCTGAGCCTCAGGGTGAGGGGACACTGGGGACATTGGGGGGACACTGGGGACATCACTGGGAAACTGCTGAGCCTCAGGGTGAGGGGACACTGGGGACATTGGGGGGACACTGGGGACATCACTGGGAAACTGCTGAGCCTCAGGGTGAGCTGCGGGGGGGGACATTGGGGGGACACTGGGGACATCACTGGGGACATTGGGGGGACACTGGGGACACTGCTGAGCCTCAGGGTGAGGGGACACTGGGGACAGTAACGGGGACAGGCTGACATCACTGGGGACATTGGGGACATTAAGGGGGTCCTGGAGTGGGGACACTGGGGGATGGGGGGACACTCGGGTGTCCCCGGGGCTGGCCCAGCCCTGTCCCCAGCTGTCCCCAGCTGTCCCTGTCCCCCCAGGCCATGGAAGCCGCTCACCGGCAGCTGCTGCGCTCGCTGCGGGGGGGCGACGCCGCCGTCCCCAGTGTCCCCAGTGTCCCCAGCAGCGTCCCCAGTGTCCCCAGCAGCGTCCCCGGGCGGGCCCCGCCGCCCCCCAGTCCCCAGAGCTCACCCCACGCCCCGCGGGGACACGGTGGTGGCACCGCCCCCCACGGCACAGGTGAGAGCCCCAGGGGCACCCGGTGTCCCCTGCGTGTCCCCTGTGTGTCCCGTCTGTGTCCCCTGCGTGTCCCCTGCGTGTCCCCTGCGTGTGCCCTGTGTGTCCCCTGCGTGTCCCCTGCGTGTGCCCTTCCCACACCACCACTATCCCCCATTAATTTCCCATTTCTCCCATTATTTCCCCCATTATTAATTTCCCATTTTCCCCATTATTTCCCCATTTTCCCCCTTTCCTTCCAGGCTCCGACGCCCCCGCCCACCTTTAACTCGGAGGGGGGGGATGGGCTGGAATTTCCCTCCCCTCCCCCAGACCCCCGGAAGATTTTCCAGGGAATTCCGGCCGGGAATTCCTCCCGGACGGCCGGACAGACGGACAAATGCACTTTGTTGGGAATTCCCCCTTTTCCCTCCAAAAAACCCCTATAAATATGTACGTACGCCCCTCCCCCACGCTGTAAATACCCCCGGTGTCCCCTCCCCCCTCCCGGTGACAATCGGGGGTGACACGGTGACAATCGGGGGGGTGGCACCCCCAAAATCCCGGGATTTCCCCCCAAAACCCAGGTTTTCCCCAAATCCCGGGGTTTTTCCCCCCGATCCCGGATTTTCCCCAAATCCCGGATTTTCCCCAAATCCCGGGGTTCCATATAAATATTATAAATATCAGAGCCCGGGGGGCTGAAGCTGGGAAGAATTCCCCACTTTTGGACTCGTTTTTTGTGGGATTTGGGGTTTTTTTCAGTGGGGTTTGGGGTTTTTTATAGGATTTGGGGTTTTTTATAAGATTTGGGGTTTTTTATAAGATTTGGGGGTTCTTTTTCCCTGGGGTGGGGATTTGGGTGCCCTGGAGGTGACAGGAGGGGTTTGGGAATGGGGAATGGGATTTGGGGATTTGGGAATTGTGGGATCCAGCCCCGCGGTGTCCCCAGGGGTGGCCCTGTCCCCAGGGGTGGCACAGCCCAGCCTGGCGACAATGCTCCGGTTTATTTACAAGCTGGCAGGGGGTGGTGGCACCGCCCCTGTCCCTGTCCCTGTCCCTGTCCCCAGTGGCTCCCAGCTGCCCCGGGGGTGGCCCTGCGGCCCCAAAGGGGGACAGGGAGGGGACACCAGGACACGTCCCCGAAGTCCCCGTGTCCCCTCGGGGTCCAGGGCCGTGAGGAGCGGTGGCAGCTCCTGGTGGCACCTCTGGTGGCACCTCCGAGGTCAGCTCTGGTGGCACATCCCGGGTCACGTCCCAGGTGTCCTCAGTGTCACATCCTGGGTGTCCCCAGGCTCGGCTTCTCGGGGTCACAAGGTGAAGATCCCGTCCTTGGTGTCCCCAGTGTCCTCAATGTCCCCAATGTCACAAGGTGAAGATCCCGTCCTCGCTGTCCCCAATGTCCCCAGTGTCACAAGGTGAAGATCTCGTCCTCGCTGTCCCCAATGTCCCCAGTGTCACAAGGTGAAGATCTCGTCCTCGCTGTCCTCGCTGTCCCCAATGTCACAAGGTGAAGATCTCGTCCCCGCTGTCCCCAATGTCCCCAGTGTCACAAGGTGAAGATCTCGTCCTCGCTGTCCCTGCTGTCCCCAATGTCACAAGGTGAAGATCTCGTCCCCGCTGTCCCCAATGTCCCCAATGTCACAAGGTGAAGATCTCATCCTCGCTGTCCCCAATGTCCCCAGTGTCACAAGGTGAAGATCCCATCCTCGCTGTCCCCAATGTCCCCAATGTCACAAGGTGAAGATCTCGTCCCCGCTGTCCCCAATGTCCCCAATGTCACAAGGTGAAGATCTCGTCCTCGCTGTCCCCAGTGTCACAAGGTGAAGATCTCGTCCCCGCTGTCCCCAGTGTCCCCAATGTCACAAGGTGAAGATCTCATCCTCGCTGTCCCTGCTGTCCCCAATGTCACAAGGTGAAGATCTCGTCCTCGCTGTCCCCAATGTCCCCAATGTCACAAGGTGAAGATCTCGTCCTCGCTGTCCCTGAGCGCGGCCGCCCGCGGGGTCCTGGTGAGGGGCCGGGGTCCCAGCCGGGCCCCCCGAGGGGACGCGGGGCCGGGGCCACCCCCGGGGCTGCGGGGACAGCCGGTGACACGCTGTGACACCTGTGACAGCCGGGGTGGCAGTGCCACCGCCCCGGTGCCAGCCGAGCCCCGCTGCCCCTCCGTGTCACCCCGCCCTTCTCCCAGCTGCGCCACAATTTTACCCCACTTCTTCCCAAATTTTTCCCCCAGTTTTTCCCAGATTTTTCACCATAACTTTCCCCCAGTTTTTCCCAGATTTTTCACAATTTCCCCCCAGTTTTTTCCCCCAATTTTCCCCAATTTTTCACCACAATTTCTCCCCAGTTTTTCCCAGATTTTTTCCCCCAGTTTCCCCCCAATTTTCCACCACAATTTTCCCCCAATTTTTCCAAAATTTTCCCCCAGAATTTCCCCCCCATTTTTCCCCCATTTTCCCCCGGATTTCCCCCGGTTCCCACCTGCCGCCCGGGCCCCGCAGCCGCCGCGCCGCCGCCTCCTTGCAGCGGCCGATCTCGGCGTCCAAGCGCCGCAGGAAATCCGAGGCCGAGAGGTCGCGCCGGGAGGGGCCGGGACCGTCCCCGGCGGTGTCCCCGGGAATGTCCCCGGGGCTGTCCCCGGCGGTGTCCCCAGGGCTGTCCCCGGCGGTGTCCCCGGGGCTGTCCCCAGGGCTGTCCCCCGGCGTGTCGCGCTGTCCCGGGATGAGCAGCGTGGCTCTCAGGAAGATTGTGTCCGAGGAGTAGAGGCGGTTGGCGCGCTGGATCTGCTCCATCTGCGGGACGGGACCGGGACCGGGACGGGGACAGGGCTGAGCCCCGCGGGTCCCCTGAGGCCTTCCCCGGCTCCCCCTTGTCCCCTTCCCCCGTCCCTTTGTGACCCTCACCCTCTCCGGGGTGTCCCCAACTCTTTCCTGAACCTCCTGGGACCCCCAACCCTTCCCTGGGTCCCTTTGTGTCCCCTCCAGGTCCCCCGGGTCCTTCCCCGGCCCCACTTTGTCCCCTCAGCCCTTCCCAGGGCTGTCCCAGGGCGGCTCTGCCACGGGGGCCCGGTTTGGGACAGTGTGGGGACAGTGTGGGCCCGGTTTGGGGCAGTGTGGGGACAGTGTGGGCCCGGTTTGGGGACAGTGTGGGGACAGTGTGGGCCCGGTTTGGGGACAGTGTGGGGACAGTGTGGGCCCGGTTTGGGGCAGTCTGGGGACAGTGTGGGGACAGGAGGTGACGAGGGTGGCCCGCTGTCCCCAGAGGCGCCGCGTGGCCGAGCTGCTGGCCAGTGCCATCCCCGAGGACGAGGCGCTGCTGCTGCGCGACGGCAGGTGAGGCTGCCCCGCTGTCCCTGCTGTCCCCGCCGTGCCCCGGTGTCCCCCGGTGTCCCCCAGTGTCCCCTGTGCTGTCCCCAGGCTGGCGTGCTCGCTGTGTCCCCAGCGGCCCGTGTGTGACACTCTGCAGACGCTGCTGCTGCACCGGGCGGGCAGGAAGCACCTGGACGGTGAGTGGGCTGTCCCTGTCCCCTGGGATGTCACCTGGGCTGTCCCTGTCCCCTGGGATGTCACCTGCAGTGTCACCTGGGCTGTCCCCGTGTCCCTTAGGATGTCACCTGGGCTGTCCCTGTCCCCGGCCATGTCACCTGCCATGTCACCTGGGCTGTCCCCGTGTCCCCTGGGATGTCACCTGGGCTGTCCCTGCATTACCTGTACTGTCCCCTGTCCCGTCCCCATGTCCCCTGTCCCCTCACCCTGTCCCTGTCCCCTCACCCTGTCACATGTCCCCTGTCCCTGTCACATGTCCTTGTCTCCCTCACCATGTCCCCATGTCCTTGTCCCCCTGTCCCTGTCCTGTCCCTCACGTGTCCCTGTCCCCGTGTCGCAGCCCTGCAGCGTTCCTTCGGGCGGCGCCGCTGTCCCCAGGTGGCCCCGCAGGGACCCCAGGTGACCCCGGGGGTGGCGCCAGCTGTGCAGGTGGGTGTGGCCCCAGGGTGTGACACCAAATGGGCGGGGTCTCCATGGGTGTGACACCAAATGGGCGGGGTCCCCATGGGTGTGGTTCGATTTGGTGTGGTCTCCATGGGTGTGTCCACGGGAGGGTGTGGTCTCCATGGGTGTGGTTCAGTGTGGGTGTGGTCTCCATGGGTGTGGTTTGATATGGGCGTGGTTTCCTGTGGGTGTGGTCTCTCTGTGGGTGTGGTCTCCAAGTGGGTGGGGCCCCATGGTGTCTCCCGAGTGGGTGTGGCCTATGTGGGTGTGTGGTTCCCATGGGGCGTGGCCTATGTGGGTGTGGTTTAGTGTAATGTGGGTGTGGTTTCCATGGGGGCGTGGCCTCTGGGCATGGCCTGGCTGGATGTGCGGTGTGGGGGCGTGGTCTCGGTGGGCGTGGCCTCAGGGGCGTGTCGCGCAGGCGCCGCTGCTGGCCCGGACACGCCGGCTGGCCCGGAGCGCGCTGCTGAGAGCGGCCCCGTACAGCAGCTGCTGCCGCAGAGCCACGTGAGGGAAACGGGGAAAAACGGGGAAATGGGGAAAAACGGGGAAATGGGGAAAAACGGGGGAAATGGGGGAAAACGGGGAAATGGGGGAAAACGGGGGGGAAATGGCACAGAAGTGGGGCCCAGGGGGGGCATTGTGGGAGTGGGATTGGGGTCCTGGTGGGCACTGCTGGGGGGACAGGGAGTGACCCCAGAATTTGCATGAAGTTCCTGGTGTTGTAGGAGGACACTAAGGGTTGAGGACATGGGACCATGGGAGTGGGGTTCTACCTTTAGGGACATCCTGGTGTGACCCCAGGATTTGGGATCAGCATCCCAGGATGTTTCTAGCTGAAGCTCCCCTTCTCAGCCCCTCAGGGAGGAACTTTTCCAAGTGTTGCTTTGTGCCCTAATTGTCCCCTCAGTGTGTTCCTCTTTGTCCCCCAGTGTCCCACACCGCTCGTGGTGGCCCCTTCCCGCCATGGCCCTCCTGGCTCACACCCTGGCACTGCTGGTAATGACCGTGACCACCGTGGCCTTCCTGGCACCACCCAAGGTCTCACCCCTGGACACGGCCCGGGACTCCTTCGATGACCAGTACCAGGGCTGTGTCCCTGCCATGTATGCAAAGTTGCCGGAACTCTACAGCTTCGAGCGCCAGATGAATCTTCTCTTTGCCAGCGGCTGGTATAATGCTCAGGCTGAGTGGATCCGGCGGGGCTCTCCTGTGTCCCCTCTGGCGTCCCCATGGCACGCCGTGGCTCTCATGGCCTACACGTCACAGGACTTGCACAAGGAGTTCAACAAGGCCGTGCGCGTGGCCGGGCACTCCCGCCAGGAATACATTAACAACTTCCACTTCAAAACGCTGCATTTCCTGCTCACCCAGGCACTGGTGACACTGAGGGACGCTCAGAATGCCCAGTGTTACAACGTGTTCCGGGGCGTGCGTAACATTCGTTTCCAGGCACAGCGTGGCCAGAGGGTCCGCTTTGGTCAATTCGCATCGACGTCGCTGAGCGAACCAGTTGCTCTGCAGTTTGGGACCGACACGATTTTCAAAGTGCACACATGCCACGGCGCAGACATCAGTCAGTTCTCCGTGTTTCCAGGGGAGGAGGAGGTGCTGATCCCGCCATACGAGACCTTTGAGGTCACCGAAGTCACCCGGGATGGGAAGATGACATGGATCAGTCTCCGCTCCACTGGGACCAGCAGCAACTACAACTGCGCGTTGCTGTGAGGTGACAGCACAGGGGACAGCCTGGGGCTATGGGGACACCCACTGCAAAGCAAATCAGCACAAGACTCCGCTCAATGCAGCCCCAATGGCCCCAAATTGGTCATTGTCCCTTGGCCACATTCCAGGCGGAGCATCCTGCCACATTCTGCACTTCAGGGGAACCTTAAAGGCTGGAATTTAGGACATTCAAGAGGGGAAGGGCAGGTCCTGTCCCTTTGGGAGGGACTGTCCCCAGTGTCTGTCCAGGCTGGGAGAAACCTGCTGGAGCAGCTGTGAAAAAGGACCTGGGGGTGCTGGTTGGTGACCATTGGGGCTGGCCATGTGGCCTGGGGGCAGAAGGGATCCAGAGTGCACCAGGAAGAGCAGGCCCAGAAAGTCAGGCAGTGTTTGTACCCCTTTGCCCGTCTCTGTGAGGCCCATCAGGAGTGACGCGTCCAGTTCTGCCCAGTGCTGTGTCCAGCTGTGCCCAGTGCCATGTCGTGTTCTGAGCTGCTCTGGACCAGAGTGGCTACGACATGACATCACAGGGAAAACCCGGAGGACAGGGACACCCACTGTGGGTATGGGGACATCCCTGATAAGGCTCAGGGGTGACCCTGCCTGAGCTGGGAGGTTGGGAGGAAAATGGGGGGAAATTGGGGGAAAATGAGGAGAAAAAAGGGGGAAATGGGGCAAAACAGGGGGAATGGGGGAACAGGAAAATGGGAGGAAGTGGAGGAAAATTGGGGAAAACTGGGGAAAGAGGGAAAATTGGGGGAAACAGGGGAAACAGGAAAATGGGGAAAGTGGGGGAAACGGGCAAAAGATGGGGAAAGATGGGAAGGGAACAGGGACAAAAAGGGAGAAGATGGGGAAGGAGCTCAGGGACACCAGGGGAAGTTCTGGGATTCCCAGGAAAGGGAATGTTTTGGGATTCTCACCCTCTCCCTTCCCCCTCCCAGGACGAAGGGCAGCAGCTCCCGGGCCGGGATCCCCGGGATGATCCCAAAAAATTCCCAGACGCCGCCGGAGCCGTCCCGGAACCCCGGAATTCCCGGGAATCCCGAAACCGCCGGCCCCACACACACAGAGGGTGAGACCGCGCCCCTGCCAGGGGGTTTTCCCGGGAATTGCCCATTCCCGGAATTCCCAGCAGCCCCGTCCTCGCTCCCCCAGGCGTTCCCAAGGACAGGAAACGGGGAAGGAAAGGAAATTCCCGAAGCTCCGAGGGGCCGAGCCCGGAGCGGCTGCGGATCCTGCGGCACCACCTGCACCTGCGCAGGTGGGTGGGGATCTGGGAATTCTGGGAAAAACCCCAAAAATATCCCCCAAAAAATCCCCACAAAAATCCTCCAAAATATCCCAAAAATATCCCTAAGAATCAAAAAAAAAGCCCCGCAAAAAAAACCCTCAAAAAATCCCAAAAGTACCCCAGAAAGCTCCCCGGGGTGCCAGCGAATGCCCCAATCCCTTTCCCTGTGTCCCAGCCGGGGCTGGCTCCAGGATCCCGCTGGGAATTGGGTGAAGGACGGCAACGCCGAGTTCGACTCCGACGAGGAGGAGCCGCCACCACTGCCACCAGCCTGACAGCCCCAAGTGTCCCCAAGAGTCCCCAGGAGTCCCTGAGAGTCCCCAGGGCCCTGGGAATAAAGTGGGAATTTTTTGGGACCATTTTTCCACTTTATTCCCTTTATTCCTGAGCTCGGTGCGGGCACAGAGGAAATTTTTAGGATTTCTTCTGTTGGCGACCTGGGGGCAGAGAAAAGGGGGGGGGTCAGAGGTGGGACCCCAAAGTCCCGCCCCTGGTGACACCTGGGGACATTCAGGAGCTCGCTCCAAGCTCTGGGACCCCCAGGTGACACCTGGAGACCCTTGGGGACACTCCCAGAGCTCCTTTTAAGGTGGCTTCACCTCTGGGACACCCCAAACCCACCCTTGGTGACCCCTGGGGACACTCAGGGGCTCATTGTGAGCTGGGGACAGCTCTGGGTGAGGCCCTGGCGGTGACCCCGGGCTGGCCCTGGGGACCCTGGGGACACTCACGGAGCTCGTTGTTGCGGGTGAGGGCGGCGGCGGCGCGCGCCCGCGGGCCCTGCAGGGTGAAGGTGTAACCAAAGCGCAGCAGGGACGGGCACTGCTCCAGCGTGGCTGCCATGGCCATCTCCACCGTGTCCCCCAGGCGCTGGCACTGCGGGATTGGAGACAGTCAGGTCACTGTCACCTCCCCTGGTATCCCTGTCCCTGCTGTCCCCACCCCCTGCTGTCACCTGGTTGTCCACGCGGATCTCGCTCAGCGTGGGGCAGTGGCCGATGGCCGCCAGCAGCCGCAGCATTCCCGCACTGGTGATGAAGTTGGACTCGAGGTTGAGGCTCTGCAGGCTCTGGTTCTGCTCCAGCATCTCGGCCACCGCCTGGGGACACCGCGGGGACACCGCAGTGGCACCAGAGTGACACCACAGTGACACCAGAGTGGCACTGTGGGGACACCGCCTTTGGTGTCCCAAGGATGGGTGGACAGGCGGGGGAGTGGACTTGTGGGGACATTTGGGGACCTTTGGGGACACTGGGGGACTCACGTTGGCCACCAGGTCGTTGCTGCGCGTGGCCACCAGGCTGAGGCTGCGCACGTGGGTGTTGGTCTTGATGGCCTCGCAGATGGCCTCCAGCGTGGGGACAGGGATGTCCTGGGGACAGTCGGGGACACGGGGTCACCCAGGGGCCGGGGTGGGAGCTGGCACCGTGGGGACGTGCTGGGCACAGGGGCCACCCCTTGGGTGCCAGCTTCACCCAAGCTGAGGGTGGCACAGCCCCCCGGGCGCCGCTGGGGACGGTGGCGGCGCGGTGTCACCTTGATGTTGTTGAGGTTGACGTCGTGCAGCGCGGGGTCGTTGTCCTGCAGCCGCCGCAGCGTCTCGGCCACGTCCGTGGGGTTCGGGGGCTCGTCCGGCACCGGCCGGTACCGGTCCGGCTGCACCACGCCTGGGACAGCGTGGGGACACCGTGGGGACACACGAGTTTGGTCCCCAGATGCTGCCCCAAGCACCCCGTGGAAGCTCTTGTCCCCCTGTCCCGTGTCCCTGTGTCCCTGTGTCGCTCACTGAGGATTCCCAGGCTCTGTCCCCGTCCCTGTCCCGCTGTCACTCACTGTTGATGCCCTCGGTGTTGCAGATGTTCCCGCTGCAGATGGCATCGTAGTACTGCTTGTTGCTCATCAGCGTGTACATGCCCAGGATGGCTGCGGGGACAGCGGGGTGGCACTGGGGACATCGGGGGCACGGGGGACACAGGGCACACAGGACCCTGCTGTCCCCCCGGGGAGGTGGCACTGGGAGCTGCTTTGACGGAGGGGACACAGAGGGTGAGGGGGGACCGAGTGTGACACTGTGGGACAATGTGTGTGACACTCGGGTGTGTGACAGTGACACAGAGACACCGTGTGACACTCGGGTGTGTGACAGCGACACAAGGACGGGTGTGCCGTGCTGGCCTGGTGCTCGGTGTCCCTCCCCAGGTGACAGTGACACCGTGTGACACCCTTGGGGACAGCGTTACCCTCGGCCAAGGCCCTTCCTGGTGCCGCTCCCGGCCCCGTGGGGATCCCGGCCTGCGCAGAGCCCGGCCTCGTTCCCATCCCGTGGGAACCCCATGGAGACCCCATGGAAACGCCATGGGAACCCCATGGAGATCCCACCCCACCCTCATCAGGTCCCAATCCCCTGGAAACCCCCTGGAGACCCCATGGAACCCCATGGGAACCCCATGGAGATCCCACCCCAGCCCATCAGATCCCAATCCCACAGAAGTCCCATCCCAACCCCATCCTTTACAAATCCCACCCCATTCCAACCCCATCCATGTCCCCATTCCCATCCCATTCCTGATCCCATCACAGTCCCATTCCCGGCCCCGCAGTCCCCGCTGTCCCCACCCACCGGCGATGTCGCACATCTCAGCCCCAATCCCATCACAATCCCGATCCCATTCCATCCCACTCCCGATCCCATCCCAATCCCATTCCCATTCCCCGTTCCCATCCCGGCCCCGCAGTCCCCGCTGTCCCCACCCACCGGCGATGTCGCACATCTCAGCCCCATTCCCATCGCAATCCCGATCCCGTTCCCCATCCCAATCCCATCCCAATCCCATTCCCATTCCTATTCCCATTCCCATTCCATCCCAACCCATTCCCATTCCCCGTTCCCATCCCGGCCCCGCAGTCCCCGCTGTCCCCGCTGTCCCCACCCACCGGCGATGTCGCACATCTCAGCCCCAATCCCATCACAATCCCGATCCCATTCCATCCCACTCCCGATCCCATCCCAATCCCATTCCCATTCCCCGTTCCCATCCCGGCCCCGCAGTCCCCGCTGTCCCCACCCACCGGCGATGTCGCACATCTCGGCCTCGGTGGCGTTGGCCAGCGCCTCCTCCAGCTCCGGCTCCAGCGTCACCTGCTCCTCCCGCGGCAGCGCCGGCGCCGCCGCCTTGGGGACAAACGGCTTCCCTGGGGACAGGGACAGGGTCACAGGCGGCACGGGGACATGGGGACACCGGGCACGGGGACAGACGGCTTCCCTGGGGACAGGGGACACGGGACGAACGGCTTCAGGTGGCATCATCGGGGTGGCCTCGCTGAGGCTGGCACTGCTGTCACTGGGTTGTGACCATCCGGGGCTGGCACTGCTGTCCCTGGGGGTGACACTGCCAGGGCTGGTGGCCGTGCCCGGGGCTGGCACTGCTGTCCCTGGGGGTGACACTGCCAGGGCTGGTGGCCGTGCCCGGGGCTGGCGGGGGCCCAGCTCGCCCAGGACACCCGAGCCGCTGGCGAGGCCGAGCTAAATATACCCGAGCCCGGGGGCCCGGTCCCCTCCGTGTCCCCGGGCTGTCCCCAGCCCCTGGCCAGCCTGTCCCCGCGCTGTCCCCGCTGTCCCCAGACCTTTTTTCTCGCCGGTGAAGGGCACGAGGTCCTGGCGCTCCTCGGCCTCCAGCGCCTGCCGCTCCAGGTGCTGCAGGAGCGCGTCCCGGTCCAGGGGTCCCGTGGGGCTCTTGTGGGTCTGGTCGCGCTGGCGCAGCCCCGCGGGCAGCAGCACGTTCTGGGGACAGCGCCCGTGTCACCTGCTGTCCCCGCGGCCGCCCGCCCGCCCGCGCGGCCCCCGCCCGTGCCCACCTCGGGGTCCATCTCGGCCAGCTCGGCGTCCAGCTGCGCCAGCTCCTCCGGGGACAGCTCCTGCAGGATCTTGTCCTCGTCGATGTCGCGGTACTTCTCCAGCTCCTGCCGGTACGGCGTCATGGCCGCGGGGACCTGGGGACAGCGCGGGGACAGCGGGGTGGCACCAGCGGGGACAGCGCGGGACACGGGGGGACACGGGGAGGACCCCTTGGTGCCAGCACTGGCGGGCTCGGGGGACACAGGGGGACAGGGGGGACCTGGCCGTGCCACCCTCTGCGGGGACAGCGCTTGGGGACACCGAGCACACCCCAAAAGTTGTCCCCAACCTTTGTCACCTCCAGGGTCACATCCCGCTCCTGCCTCGCCCCAATTTCAGCGTCCCCCCCAAATTCCGGCCCCGCCGGGGGTGACAGGAGGCACAAACCGCGCGTCCCCAAATGTCGCGACCCCGCAAGCGGCGCTCCGCGGTGTCCCCAGAGCGGGGGTGGGGACACACCTGCCCGCCGCACCCCCCGGGGCGTGGGAATTCCTTTGGGAAGCGGCTCCGGGATCCCCAGAATCCCAAATTTCTGTGGCGGGAGGGGGGAGGGGGAGGTGACACGGCGGGGACAGCGCGGGGACAGCGGGGCCGTACCTGGGGCCGATCCCGAGGCCGGGGCTGATCCCGCGGCCGATCCTAAAGCTGGGCGGGGGGGATCCCACAGCCGATCCCAAACGGCGGGGCCGATCCCAAAAGCGATCCCAAAGGCGATCCCGAAAGCCGGGGCCGGTGCCGCCGCTCTGGGGCCGCGCGGGGCATGAGATCAGCGCTTTATTCGGGCCCGGAGGGGCGGATCCGTGCCCCGGCCCTTATCGGGAACGGGGGGGCCCCGCCCGGCCCCGCGGGGCCCGCCGACCCCAAAAACCGCCGGGGGGAAAAGAGAGAGCGGATCCTTCCCCAGTGCCACGAACCCTGCAAAGCCCCGACCCCAAAAACCGCCGGGGGCAGAGGAGGACACGGGGACAGGTGAGGGGGGCACGGAGCCTTCCCGAATCCCACCAACCCTACAAAGCTCAGGGCGGGTTTGGCCCCACAAGTCCCGAATGCGGGGAGTGAAGGGGATTTGGACCCCCCCAAATGGGGTTTGGGGGAGCAGGGAATGAGTTTTGTAGGATCTTCTGGAAAAGGGAAACCCATAAACTTTATTTGAGGCTGTTCTGGAGAAAGGAACCCCATATTATTGTAGGGTCTTCTGGAAAACAATGGCTTCATGAACCTTGTTTATTGTAGGATTTCTTGGAAAAAGGGCTCCCACCCCATTTTTTGGGTAGGATTTCTGGAAAAGGGTTCTGCAAACCTCTTTATTTATTGTAGGACCTCCTCGAAAAGGGGGCTCCCACCACCCTACACAAACCAACCCCCAGTTCAACTTTATTCTCTCCTCCACACCCCTGGCGAACAGTGACCCCAAAAAAACATCCCTCACATGGGTGACCCCTTATCCCTAAATGCCAAATCCCAACACCCCAGCATCCCCAAATCCCGGGATTTCAGGCACTGCCAACGCTTTGGGAGGAGCCCCTCAACAAAACCGTCACCGCTGTCCATCCCAATAACCCGACACCCCAAATCCCAAATCCCAGATCTGGGATCTCGGGCACTGGGGACGCTCTGCTTGACGATGATTTTCTGCTCTTTTGGAAGGACATTCCCACACCCCAACACCCCACACCCCAAATCCCAGCTCCCAAATCCCAGGTGTCAGGCACTGGGGATGCTCCGTTTCATGACGATCTTCTGCTCTTTTGGGGAGGATGCAGAGTCTGGAGGCTCCCATATCCCAATGCCCCAAGACCCCAAATCCCAGATCCCAACTCCCATGTCCCAGGCTCTGAGAACGCTCTGCTCGATGACGATTTTCCGCTCTTTTGGAAAGGACATTCTCACACCACAACACCCCAAATCCCAGATCCCAACTCCCATGTCCCAGGCTCTGAGAACGCTCTGCTCGATGACGATTTTCTGCTGTTTTGGAAAGGACGCTCCCACACCCCAAATCCCAGCTCCCAGCTCCCGTGTCTCAGGCAATGGAGATGCTCTGCTCGATGACGATTTTCCGCTCTTTTGGAAAGGACACTCCCACACCCCAACACCCCAAATCCCAGATCCCAGCTCCCAGGCTCTGAGAACGCTCTGCTCGATGACGATTTTCCGCTCTTTCGGAAAGGACGCTCCCACACCCCAAATCCCAGCTCCCAGCTCCCGTGTCTCAGGCGCTGGGGACGCTCTGCTTGATGACGATTTTCTGCCGGCCGGGCCGTGCCCCGGGGCTGTCCCCGGCGGCGGCGGCAGCGGCGGCGGCGGCGCTGGGCAGCCCGTGGGCCGTGACGTACTTGCGGTAGGCCTCGCGGATGATGCGGAAGGCGCGGGCGTTGGAGTAGGGGATGTCGGTGATGGGGTCGCGGTAGAGCGCCGGTTTGTGCGTGACGGGGCACAGCTCCCGCACCGGCAGCCGCGGCGCCTTGGCCCGCGGGAAGCAGCGCTCGAAGGTGGCGTCGTCGCTGAAGGAGATGAAGGTGCGCGAGCACTTCCCCGGCGACGGCGGCCGCGCCTCGGGGCCCAGCCTGCAACGGGACGGGGCGCGATGGGAACGGGGCCGGCGTGCCCCCCCGGGCGTGGGGTGGGCAAAAGGTGGGACTGCAAAGGGTCTGGGGGCTCAAAGGGTGCGGCCGCGACGGGGGGTTTGGGATTGCCAAGGTGGTGCCCGAGAACTGCGGCTCCTATGGGATTTGGGATCCCAAAAGCTGTGACTCCACTGGGATTTGGGATCCCAAAAGCTGTGACTCCAATGGGGGATTTGGGGTTTGTGGTGGTGCCCAAAAGCTGCGATTCCAAAGGGATTTGGGGCCTCAAAAGCTGTGACTCCAATGGGAGATTTGGGGTTTGTGGTGGTGCCCAAAAGCTGCGATTCCAAAGGGATTTGGGGCCTCAAAAAACTGCTTCTCCAATACGGGATTTGGGATCGCCAAGACAGAGCTCAAAATCTGCTTTTCCCGTGGGATTAGGAGGCTCAAAACATGCTTATTCCATGGGATTAAGGGGATCAAAACCTGCTTTTCCTGTAGGATTTGGGGGTTCCAAGGTGACGGCCCCAGGTTGGGATTCAGTGCCCAAACCCACCCCCCAAAACTGGAATTCTGGGATTTGGGAATCGGCTGGCACTCACCCCTCCACGTCCACGGGGTCATCGCGGCCGGGCTCGGGCAGGAGGGGCATGGTCAGGGACCAGTACCGGATCACCGGGCCCACGATCTTCCTCTTCTTCTGCACCTGCTTCTTCTTGTCCGCCTCCAGCCGCTCGTAGTTCTCTGGGGGCGGGAACGGGGCGGGAACGGGGGCGGGAATGGGGATGGGAATGGGGATGGGAATGGGGATGGGAATGGGGATGGGAATGGGAGCGGGAATGGGGACGGGAATGGGGATGGGAATGGGGATGGGGACGGGAATGGGGATGGGAATGGGGATGGGAATGGGAGCGGGAATGGGGACGGGAATGGGGACGGGAATGGGGATGGGAATGGGAATGGGGACGGGAATGGGGATGGGAATGGGAGCGGGAATGGGGATGGGAACGGGGGCAGGAACGGCTCAGCCCGGCACAGTGACTGCCAGCTCTGATCCTGGGATCCCTGTGCCATTCCCAGTGTCCCTGTCCCACTCCTGCTGTCCCTGTCCCAGCAGCCCAGCCCCATTCCTGATCCCAGTATCCCATTCCCATTATCTCACTGCCATTCCCATTCCCATTCCCAGTGCCCTGTTCCCTCACCCAGGGAGCGCAGGTTGATCTCCTCGGTGATCCTGGCCCTGTCCCAGCCCCATTCCCGATCCCATTCCCGATCCCAGCCCTGTTCCCTCACCCAGGGAGCGCAGGTTGATCTCCTCAGTGATCTTGGCCTCCTCCAGCAGCTCCTCCTGGGTCAGGGGCCGCTCGTAGCTGGTCCCTCCCTTCTTCCTCTTGGACTGCACCTGGCGCTCCTGGAGCCGCAGGAACGTCTGCCGGGTGTGCTCCGTGGTGGACTGGCGCATGTGCTTCCGGCCTGGGCAGAGACCACCCGGCTGGAACCCTGGGAATGCTCCCAGGGGACCCCCGGGACCCCGACCCAGCCCCTGGAGAAGCAGCAGCTCTCCCCTGGGATCCCATTCCCAACGCCTGGAGCACCAGGAGCTCCCCCAGAGGATCCCATTTCCAGCTGGGATCCCCGAGACCCTGCTCCCGTTCCCATTCCCACTCCCATCCCCCCCCCACTCACTGTCTCCCCCGTCCTCCTGCAGCTCCAGGGGCAGGCATTTCACCTCCCGGCCTTTCTGGGAGCCCCCCCGCGGCCCCTCCGCCTTCTTGGCCCGCAGGCTCTTGAGCGGCTCCTGCGGGAGAGAGCAGCCGCGGCTAGCGGCCCGGGAGCCCCCGCATTTGGGGCTTTTTGGGCTGTTTTCCCCCGAGCGGCCCGGGAGGGGCTCGGTACCCGGTAGGCCTTGGTGAGCACGCGGCGGCGCCGCCGGGGCTCGGCCTCGTCCTGCTCCGAGCCCGGCTCGTCGCCCTCGTCGATGTCGAAGTCCGAGTCCACCTCGTCATCGCTGTCCGAGTGCTCGCCGCGGTACTCGTCATCGCCCGACTCCTGCAGTGCGGGAACGCGGGAATGCCGGGAATGCCGGGATTGGGAACACTGGGATCGCACCCGGGGTCCCCGCGGGGCTCATTGTGCCCGGACTCCGAGGGTAACGAGAACAAGCCCCTGTACCCGTTATCCCGGGACCGCACGGGACGGATCACCCGGGGGATCCCAGACGCTCATCGCGGGCAGCCCCGTTCCCTGGATAACCCTCCCATGGCCCGGGCAGCCCCGTTCCCGGGCAGCCCCGTTCCCCGGGCCCCGCTCCCCTCACGCTCCCGCCGCCCGCCCGCGGCGCCGGGCGGGCTCCCGACGGCGATGCCGCCGCCGCCGCCGGGCCCGCCCGCCTCCCGCGCGGTGCCGCTCGCCTCGTTGAAGCCGCCGTAGGTGGTCTGGTAGAACTCGTCCTCCTCCTCGGCCTGCAGCAGCCCCGAGAGGCGATTCCCCGCCGTTCTCCGCGGGGCGCGGCCCTCGGCCAGGCTCATCTCGGCGCTCGGCTCGCCCGCCTGCCGGGACCGCCCCGCGCGGAGCGCAGAGCGATCGATGGGCAGGGGGAGAGGGCGCCGCCGCGCGGGGAAACGGGGACCGGCGGGTGACGTCATGGGGAGGGACGTCATGGTGTTGGGTGACGTCATGGGCTGGGTGCGAGGAGTTCTGCGTGCTCGGTGACGTCAACGGCAGCGTGTGCGAGCTGTGACGTCATGTGACGGAGTGTGGGCGCTCTTTGACGTCACGGGGTGTCAGCGTTGTGTGGGGGCTCTGTGACGTCATGGGGTATCAGGGCAGGGTTGTGCCTCTGTGATGTCATGGGGTAGAGGTATTGATTCATAAGTCAGCAGTGTGACGTCACAGGATGGGGATGTGTGTGTGTGTGTGTGTGCGCGCTCTGTGACGTCACAGGACGAAGGCGTGTGTGCTCCCATGACGTCACTGATTTGGGGTGTGGTGCATAAGGATGACGTCATTTAATGTTGTGCTCAGTGCGCTCAGTGTGACGTCACTCCGCCCCGCGCTCCGCCCGTCACGTGACACCGGGGGCCGAATGCCAACGGGGGAGGCGGAGCCGCTGCCCGAGCTGCGCATGCGCCGTGCGGGCCCGCTCGCGTGGCCCCCGCTGCTCCCATCGCCCGCGGCCGCGTGGGGCGCGCAGGGAGGGGCGGGGCCGAGCGCGGGAAGGGCGTGGTTTACCACAGAACGGGGCGTGGCCACGCGTGATTGGTGGAACTAAGGATTACGGGGGCGTGATTTAGTTCGGAGAGGGCGGGGCGAACGGGGAAGAGGCGTGGTTCAGCTGCGAGGGGGTGGGGCCGCGCTGAAAAGAGGCGGGGCTGAACCGCGAGTGGGCGTGTCTTTGCCCACATTAGGAGCGTCAATCCGCGGGCGGGGCGGGGCTTATCCCGAAGCGGGCGTGGCCTGTGTGGGCGGGGGCGTGGCCGGGCGTGGCGGGCGGGCAGCGCGCGGCCCAAGATGGCGGCGGCGGCGGCGGGGCCCGAGTCCGGCGGCAGCAGCGGCAGCAGCGGCGGCCTCGGCGGTACCGGCCGGGAACGGGCCCGGGGGGCGCCCGGGGAGGGGGCTGGGGCTGAGGGAAGGGCCTGGGCGGCTCTGAGGGGCTGAGGGGGGAGCGTGAGGGTGAGGGGGCTCTGAGGGCGAGAGGGGAACG